ATGTTTATGATTTATGTTGACAAGTGAATCCTGCAATTTAATAATTTCCCGGTACAAAAACAGAACCCAGTACGCGTCTGATAAGCCATTTTACCGTGGTCGATGGGCCACCACCGTGTTTCTCACACAAGCATAATAATATTATTTTATGCCACCACCGCGCCACGCCGCAACATAGGTATTTTGTAATGGGCACGCGTAAGTAGGTACCCATGAACTATGAAAAAAAAAAAAAATTATTATTTAATTCTACTCAGACAACAATAATATATTGTTATTGTTATTTAACAGTGTTTAACAAATTATTTAAAATTATGCTACTAGACTGCGCGCTGATTGCAATTAAAACATAGACATTAGACCGTATACAAAGATTATATAGGTATACATAGGACGTATAGTAGTGACATTCGATCAGCTGACCAATTATTGATAACCTGTGACCTAAAATATGATACGTTTTTACTATAGTGTAATACTGTAATCTGTCCAGGCCCTCTCTATATTACTCTATGGTTTTTACGTTTCCGTTAAATAACTTGATGAGCGATGACATTCACTTATATGAATATTCCTTGCCGCCATAAGTTTACCGCATTACGAAAACCTTTTTGATTGAATAAATTATTTGACGTTATATAAAGACAAAAACTAAAACGTGTGTGACCATATTCCTTAATTATAGCGATTATACCCACGGTCTTGGAAGATACGGTCGGATCACTTCTCTCCGCTAGCCGTTGGCAATGTTCCGTTTATTATCGCGAAAACGTTTAAAATTTCCATAAAATTTTCAAAGAACGCTGCTGGTTAGAAGTTTTTGAGGTTAGGAATTGTAGTAATGTAAATATCCAGTCTATTTTAAGAAGAAAGTATGTACCAAATATTCCGGCATTTTGTGAAACACAATGGTCACACAAATACAAATAAGTAATATCGATTTTTAAACCGCATATTATTAACGTAGTTGACGGGTTGGAAAAAACCATCTGAAGATGACAATAGGACAAGTTTACAACTTGAAAAACTGCATATTGTTTATATTTATAGATATAGAGAGTATTTACTGTGTTTGTCCGCCATTTACCAGTTCCGATCTTATGAGCGGGTGTCGGTATAAGTATAAAAAACAAAAAGAAACGTTGTACGTGAGTAGTCTTTCTAATATTATCGTTACATAGAAAATTCATAATAGAAGGCGAGAGAATATCGAAAATAAACTAAATCAGACAACACTCACGCTCGTGGCGCACACGAAACGAAATGGAGCTAGAGAAAAACGCGGACGCGCATAGCAAAATGTATATTGGGAAATTGAGTACTTAAAACGAAACCTACCGTATACAATAGAATAAAGAAACACACTTAATTATCTAAACAGGCTTAAACGAAACGAGATACCGGCCAAGGTGGAGAGGAAAAAGAGTATGTATCCAGGTACCGGTGGAGGGGGGGGCGGGGGGGATCGAAACTCAACGACGAACGATCGCCCGTCATCGAGAAGCGGCGGTTCCTTGGCCGCACATTTGCGCGCACTTTTGTCGGCTCGAAAATGAACAGTGAAACCAAATCCTGACAATCCTGTCAATAACAGTACCGGAAGGGGTACGGATGATATCGAACGGGCAAACATTTTACCCCGGGCCCTATGGTTGGAGGGGACAAGCGGTGCGGTCGCACCGGGCCCCGCGCATACGCGGAGGCCTCGTAAATTACGCATTCCGAATATTACTTTGTCTGAAAACGATCATAACACTATCGTCCCAACAGTTGGTACGCAAATTGCGACCCGCGTGGCCGTGTGGTTTTCTTAGAACACGGGTTGTTATCGACGAAAATCAAGGTGGTGCGCACCAATCATAAATAGCTTAACGCATTGTTATCGGTTTGAAAACACTCCGAACATGTTTTATCAGCATCGAACATAATGATGTCGATTCTCTGAGCTGCGATGAGACAATTCACCCGTTCGCATCCAAAAAATCACGAAAAATATGTTTAAGTAATGGCCTCCTTAAATTATTACGCAAAAGTTCTTCTAGAATTTTGCTCAGATTTTCGAGGATTACAAAAAAAAAAAAAAAAAATCATTAGGAATTTCGGACAAAGAAATATCAAATACCTACCTGACCGGGGTTAGCTGCCTAATTTTAAAAGTATTGCATGAATGAAAAAAAAAATCCATTAAATATTATTTTATTTAAAATACCTACACCAAAATCCAGATTGTATAGTATGGAATAATTGAAAATTCCAAAAACAAAAAAACTACTTTTGATACGCAAACATTGAGATAATTAACGGTTATCAAAAGTAAAAAAAAATGTCAAGTATAACTTGATTTTGAGACCATCAGTCGCAATCGACGAGGATGGGATTCGAACCCACGCGTGCAGAGCACATTGGATTAGCAGTCCAACGCCTTAACCACTCGGCCACCTCGTCGTACGGGAATACGGGTACATATTTGTAAACTTATACAGTGTTATCAGGGAAAAATTTTGAAAATTATTTAATATCAATTTTACTTAATGAACAATAATAATATTCATTCAATATGTATACTATAAGTATGCGCCTATAACCTACATTAAGAATTTTAAACAAGTATAGATAATCGATAATTGGGGAATAATAATTCGAGTTAGTAATGTTAACAACCAAATAAAACAAACATAATCTAATTTGTTTTTTTTCATAACAATTATTTAATATTTATCATTAAATAAGTAGGTATCTCTCATAAGTCTCAAACGATTGCGAATTTTCATTAAATGTTTTTTTTTTTTTTTAGTTATAAAAGTCCCCAAATGATTTTCAGTTCAATCAATGAAAAGAAAGTGATAAAAGACCGATATATAATACTACCAGGGGCGGAGTGACCGGTCTGGAAATGGGAATTTTCCAGATGGCCGGGTGGTTCATTTTATAAAGGCTACATAATTCTTAGGTATTGAAATTTACAAAATTGTTAAATACCATTATTGAAAGTATAATATGTACTATATACAGTATTAAAAAATTAAAATAATAACGATTTATTGATTGACTTACCTATATTTATTATCTCTGTCATAACTGAAAGGGGTCAGTGGATAAAAGTGTTAACTGATATTTTTTAAACGGTCCATGGGTACTAATTTTGTAACGAAATATTACAAATATTGACAAAGCATCACTGTCAGATATCTGGTTCGAGCTTGAAAATATGAGACCCAACAAAGTATTACGGACGTTCAGGATCGTGTTACATTGTAATAAGTTTAGAAATGAAAATGAATCCAGCAAGAATTGCCGCTGAAGCAGATGTAGAGTTTGAGGTGTTGAGACCGAGATCATCAAATGACCAAGTGACATCTGGGAGGTTGTAATCACCACATAATATACCGTTATTCAGGATAAAACCGTTTGTACACATAGTACACACGCACGATTAATTAATTTACAGAAGTTCGTAAATAATATGATAAAATCATAACATTAATTACCATAACAATAGTATACATAAAACAATTAGTATATTATATTCAAAACTAAGTTGCATAATATTAAACGAGTTAACGGACATGTATGAACAATTTAATTCTAAAGTGTGAAAAACATACTGTTTTACAGTGCAATTAAAGTTTGTCCATATATTTACACATACAGCCAATTGGTTGTAGTTTTTTCTCGCACATTTATGTGTTACACGTATTGTTTCTTTTGATTCATTGATCACGGAGTTCTAGATAGTCCAGAAATCTTTGACCAAACGAGGTATTGGTGTATACTACAGGGACATTGTATGCTCTGGCTTTTCTTTCAGTTTCTGTTCTGTTAATCTTAAACCAAATGTTTATAATTTTTACTACCCATAATATCGCGAATTTTTTGTAAATTTCCCCCAATTCACCTCATTATTTGAGTAAAAAAATAATAAAAAGAAAGCCACCTAAAATGAGAATTATTTCAGCAAGAAAAAAAAAAAACTAAACTACAACTAACTGAAGTGCATGAGTATATTAGAAAACACAAAGTTAAATTTTATTAAACAGATATTTATATTATTGTACCTTTATACAGATATCTCTCAGTAAATCATTTTTTTTTTTTTCAAAATAATATTTTTGACATTTTAATTTTTCATATATCTATTGATTATAAACACTAGTATTTATAATCAATGATATTACATTCATATAATATACTATATTAAAATTAAAAAGACAACTTGATGGTGACCAGTGTTATGTTTTATTAAATTACCTATGTTCAATTATAAGTATTTAACGATTTAAAATATCATATACATACATTACTTATACATATACTTACATATACTTAATAATTGGTGTCAACTTGATAAAAATGTTTTAAAAACTAAAATGCTAATGTACCTATATTATAATTCTAAGGACTAATAATTATGTTAAATATTATGCCACATGATAAAATATATTATGTTCACTTTACAAAAAACCATTAAATACTAATTTTCACGAACAAAAAATAACATTTAAAATAGTCAAGATTTAAGACACTTTGGTATTTTCAGCATTTATCCGTATGAAAAATTCAGCCTACATAGGACTGGAAGCGCGCTCTACACGTTGGTAAAGATGTCTATCAAGTCAGTATACGTTTAGGGGTCTAGAGTGACGACACCTTATCAAAACACCTTTCCATAGTTTGTACCATGGTCTATACTCTATACCTTATCAGTGTTCCAAGAGGGATGGGAACAGTTATCATAAAGTGAGTTGTTTTATCTATATGATGAATGGAAAATATCTTCAGATTTTTGCCCTTCCAGAAATATCGTCTCACCTATAATATAGATATATAATATAATAGGAGCGGCATATCCAATTATTTATTATCTATTCGCCCAAAGCGATCAAACAGCAAAAAAAAAAAAAAACCGGTAACTCAAAAAAAATAATAATAATACCGAATACAAATCTACCACAGATAAAAGATAGCTACGTTTTTTTCGGTTTGATAACAGTTATCGTTCCTCCTCGTGTTTACAGTTTATAAATTATTATTTTTGTGTCCGACGTTCACTTCTTTCAGATCTCATACTCTGAGTTTATTCTGTTCGGCAGTGCGACTTTTCCGTAGGTACTATACCTGTTAATTCCATACGATCGTGTGGTGCAAATGGTTATTCATAGTCGTGTAGACGACGAATTTCAGACATCTGTTATTTGGAACCAGTCGGCTACGACGAGGTAAATTTTAATTCTTCCGTCAAATCTAGAAGCTCGTTTAAACTCATCGTTGGTTTTTGTTGGTTCGTCATCACTAGACCACAGTCTCAAAATGGACGATTCTGAATTGGATAAACTGAGATCGAAGAGAATGGCTCAGATGCAGTCAGAACTCGGAGGAGTAAGTTTACATATTACCTGTCATATTATCTGTTGAAAAAAAAAAATGTGTTTATAATTGTTTGTCGATAATGTTTAGACACAAGGTGAAAATACGGCTGAAAAGCAAAAACAAGCTGAACAACAACGGCAGGCTGTCGAAGACATGAAACACTCAATACTGACACAAGTGTTGAACCAAGCGGCTAGAGCAAGACGTAAGTTTATGTAGTTAGTTAATTCTTGACAATACATAGATACTTTGGTGTGTAAATTATTCAGAATTGTGTATTTTGTCCAGTGAACACTTTAATGATTGGTAAACCCGAAAAAGGACGTATGGTAGAAAATATGTTACTCAGGATGGCACAGTCTGGACAGATTGTCAATAAATTAGGAGAAGATGAATTAATTGGTCTCTTAGAGCAAGTCAACAGTCAGATGCAATCTCAAGAGCGTAAAACTACAGTTAAGGTAAATGTGACCTTTTACTATTCGCTATTAGTCATTTGTTGTTATGTTTTTTTTTTTTTTTAGTTTGACCGAAGGAGAGCAGCTCTTGACGATTCTGATGATGATTACTAATCTAAAATATTTTTATTTAAAAAAAAAACATTACTTTAATATTATTATAATTATATATATTTGTATAATTTTATACTAACTCATAGTAGCTATTATGAATTTTGGAAATTTTAATGAATACTATTTTTTTCAGTCCATTAATTATATTAAGCTTTTCATTGAATTGCTTAAAAAAAAATAAATATTATATAATAATTACTAATAAATAAAATCATATTTTTGAATGTCTGAATTACTTTTTTCAGCCACTATGTTATTAAGGAATTTAATTTTTGAATGTTTTTATTTGCATAAAAAATTGTCCGCATTTAGGTATATTAATTTATTAAATATTTTTGAGAAACATAATATTATATTATGTTTCTCATATTCTTAAGGTTTTTTTTTTTCGTTTGCGTAAATACTTTCAATACTTTCTTTTTATACATTTTATTCAGAATTTTATCACTCACTTAATCAGTCTACAATGCACCTAAAGAAAAAAAAGCTGTCCTAGGATAATTGGGATGGGTGGGGTGCAGTCACTGTTTAGGCGACTGTAGGTAGATCTAGTGACTCTAGAAGTATGTCATTTTTTGATTTTTCAAATAGTTTTTATAATAGTTGGAGAAAACGGGAAAATAACAAAAAGTGATTCCTTTTTTTAAATATTTATGAATGATGTTTTATACCAGTAGTATTTCACCAATTGAAAAATAACAAGTCCTTTTTTGTTTCATTTTTAACATATTTTCTTTAAAACTTTATAAAGAATAGGACAATTTAGAAAAACAATTCTTTTTTTTTAAATATCATATTGTTAAAAATATTCTTTGACTTGAAATTTTAACAAAAAATTTATATTTGCTTTTTTAAAGATATGGTAAAAATTGAGATATATTTAGAAAATTTTAATTTTGGGAGTTTTTTTACATAATTTTTATTTGGTATGAACTCTGTTAATAAAATTGATGGACCAAACAGAAAAACTTGAAAATTTAATAAGATGTTCATTATGAGTTGCTTAGTGGTAAAAAAAAAAATTGAATTTAATGTAGTATTTTTTTATTTTTATAAGGTTTTAAATATTATGGCCTGATTATTGTAAAAATTACAATAAAGCAATACTATTAACCAAACTCCACTCAGAATTGTTTTTTGTTAGCAATGGTTAATCATTACTTAAAAATATATATTAAAGACAAATATATGATTTGTCATTTGTTACATATTATACCTAGATATTCCATGTACTTATTCATAGTTATTATATTTAAAAACTATTTGTCTTATATACTGTAAATTGTTTAAAATTATTAAAATGGTATAAAATTTAGGTTATTATTTTTTATTTTTTTTAGTTATCTCATCAAATATTCATATAAAAGAGATGTAGATATACTTTGAACAGTGGGTGAGTTACTATAGATTTGAAGTTAAATAGGTAAGAAAGGTAGAGGGGAAATTTAATGTTTATATGTATTATGTACGCAAAGATTAACCATTGCTAATGAGAAACAATTCTGAGTGAAATTCAGTTAATAATGTTACTTTGTCAACAATTTGTCATATTATTATAAACTAATTAACATATACAGTATTTATTTTATTTTGTAATATTTATTAAATATTGTACCATTTTACCGGTTTTTCCCCATTTATTATGAAAAAAAGCGAAAATGTTAGTCTGCTCCAGAGACCCGAAAGTAAAAGCTGATGTGTACATCGGTAGTCAAAAATTGGAGCAAGTAGAGGAAATGGTATACCTAGGGAGAAAAATCACATCTGATGGTAAGAGCGTCCGAGAGCTAAAACAACGCATAGTATTAGCAAAAACTACCTTTAGTAAAACATAAAAGTTGCTCACTTCAAAAGTTACATCTCAATATCAAGAAGAAATTTATAAAAACATATATATGGATGTGACATTTGGGTAGGAAGTGATGCTGAAAAGAAAAAACTAGAAGCCTTCGAGATGTGGTGTTGGAGGCGTATGGAAAGGATAAGTTGAATAGAGTAAAAAACAAATGAAGAAGTACTTAGAACTCATAGATGCGATTAGAGCAAGACGCTGGAAATTGGTTGGGCATGCCTTGAGACACCCAGAAAAGTTGCATAATATAATATTAGAGGGTATGATAGAAGGAAAGAAAACTGCAGGACGTCTTCAAAACTTATATAGGACAAATTAAATGTGATGCAAGAGTCGAAACCTTTGAGGAACTTATAGAAAAGGTGAGTAATTGGTTGGAATGAAGAATTGGAGTTGTAAACCAACCTTCGGATTGAAAAAAAAAAAAAATCTAAACATGTACAATAAAACTTTGCTCTGAATCGTTTTTTGTAACTAATAGTTTATTGTTCACAGATATAAATTAAACAACTATGTATCCTATCTTTTTAACTTCTCACCAAAAACAGTGGCCCACTCATACCCAGTATCATCTTTTTTTTTAAGTTTGTCAACTTCATTTTCGACATTATATCATCATTAAATATATTTTTTTTTACATACAGTAATACAATATAGTTATGTGATTACATTTTTAGTTTTTTTTCTCAAGATGTAATTCAAACCATTATGTAAATTGATTTCATTTTTAACTAGTTACTGAAACAAATTTGTAACATCTTCAATATTCTATTATTTAATTGATTAATGTTTATATACTCAAAATATGAAATATTAAATCTTTTACCTCATGATCTGAACAATTAGTTTTATTATAATATTGTATGCTGTATAAGCTCATACTGCATATTAATCAATCATAACATAATCTGTTTATTTAAACATTTGATGAGAAAACAAATTTTATGAATAAAATAAATTTTATTTCATTAAATAATATAACTACAACTAAAATAATTTTATTGTAATAACATTAAAAGTCCTATTTAGTAAGTTATATTTAATATATATTTGGTTAACAATAATGACAAATTTTCTTGTAGTTTGCTTTTGTATCAATAAAACATGTCCCTTAATAGTTTCATAGAAATGTACAGTTTGATATAAATATACTTTGTAATAAGAGAATTTACAAATGTATTTTTTTTTCTACCAACAGTTCTTGTAATATACTTTCATGTAAATCACTATTTACATAAATGTATAAAACATTTCTTATAAAAATGGGCTATATAATGGGAATACAATATTTTAAGCATTGGATGGCAATACACAGTACATACTAAAAATAATAATAATAATAATAATCATTATATAGAAAACAAAACAATTGAGGTCCAGTCTTGGAAATAAATCTGCACAAAATGTAAACAAGTAATATTTTAAAACATAAAAATCATTTTTAAACATGTAAAACTAATAATTATTATAATACAACAGGAATGTTATGTGATGTTATTGTCTGTCGAATCACTTGGGTCATTCGACAATTGGGTATTAGAATTTTGAATTGTTTCCTGTTGTTCGAGACGGACTGCTACATTGTTTAGGTCTTGGTAATTATCCCTCAATAAGCTACGCAATAATAATAATTAATAAAACCATAAATGAAATTTGTAATCTACTAATTGGATAATTTTTTTGATTACTGTTACAACTCACTTTAACAGTATTTCAGCGTTTCGTGTACCATGCCGTATCTGTTCAGCAACCGAATTAGTTGACGAGATTGTTGCTAAACGACTACCATTGAGCCCTTCATCTCTGGCCCTTAATAAATGTCGCAATGTTCTAACTTCATCTTCTGCTCGTTGAGCTCTCAGCTATGAATAATAAATATTTTTCTTTTATACTTTTAAGTAAAATCATTTTAAGAAATCATAGTTAGTAATAAATTTGTTTTAAGTATACCGAGTGATCCATTTAAGTGGGTACACTCATTATCTCTAAAAGTATTAACTTTTTCCGGAATTTGTTTCCTACAATATTTAAGAAACAAGCTGCTCTACAGTTTCAATTAAAACAAATTTTAGTGTTGACATTTTTGATTTCCGTTGATGAGATACTCTATTTTTTTTAAGGTTGGGTTGGAAGAGAATGGTGGGGTATTATCAACACACCGCGCGCCGTACCTCCACACAAAGGATTTAAAATTACTCTCATCTAACCCAAACTTAAAAGTGGAATATCTCATCAATGGATTGATGGTAATCAAAAATTTCAACACTAAAATTTCATTACTCCATATATTTATGGACTTTTGAATATAGGTGGTCATTTGAAAATCAAAAAGGTGACAAAAAATAACATAAATATAAAATTGTAGAACAGCTTGTTTCTTAAATATTCTAGAAAACAAATTCCGGAAAATGTACACATTTATAAGTTTAAAAAAAAATTATTGGCATTAAATACAATTCAGAATGTTAATACAGCTGACTCACCAATGCTTGTTGCAACATATTATTTAAATTCAACACTGTTGTTCTTAAGTCTTGTTCTGTTGCTTCTAGCCTGTTGACTCTAGCTTCAACAGCTTGACTGTGCCTAAAATTAGTATTTATTTATTTATTTGGTTCATTTCATCTATAGTTAACAATAACAATAATGTAACACTTGATGTAACATGTCTTCAATTAACAATAAACTAAAGAAGATTAATAATTATTTAATTAAAGAAACCTTTGAAACCTAAAATAATTCTGATTTATTGGTCTAGCACCACGCAGTGGGTTGATAATAATGCTTATACGATTTCGATCCGTTGGCTGTTCATTCCTAGGGACTGGATGAACAACTGGCACGCCAATAGGTCCGTCAGACAGAAAATCTGGTAAACTGCTGTTAGTGGTTGTGGGTGTGGTAGCACGGGGAGGTGTTGTCGTATTGGTAAGTGGAAGGTCTAGTGGCATAACAACACATTGTTGAGGTGTACGGTTACTACGATTACCAAACATAGATGGCCGATTAATCCCACGTGTCAGATCAATACTATTCGAACGCGAATCAAGATCGCCATTGTCGTAAGGTTGATCAGTAGTCAAATGATCTTGAACAAAATCTGGTAAGGTAGATGTTTCAGTTACAGGCCTCACTGGCTGTGACACACTAGGTACTACTTCAACTTTAGGTTTTGATGTTTGATTGGTTCCATTGTTGCACAAAAAGTGCCTGAATGATAAAAGATTATCTTCACGTTTGGTACCGGAAGCAGATGATTCTCCAGGATCTGTTAAAAATAGAATTTTAACTATAAACAATTGTCACAACTCTCAATATATTAATAATAAATAAATAAAAACAATACCTATGTATGCATAATATAAAATAATATATAGTATAAATATATTTAATTTTATGGTAACAAGGTCATAGCTACAAAATATTTTCTAATTTTTTTGTTTTTGTAATATTACATTACTAATTAATATACTTAAAACAGGTATTTTCTGAGAAATAAATTAAAACTTCAAAACTATTACTTAATAGGTAAATTATATTCAATGAAGATTTAAGGGAAATTTGTTCGGTTGATTAAATAACTTCATTATAAACGGTGTTATTCATGTTATATTTCTATGTCAACATTATAATAAATTAACAATATATTATTTATATTATTAGTTTTAATCCATAAATACAATTTAAATTATATTTATATTGTTGATTATTTATGTAATGGTATAAAATATAGAAGTGATTAGAAAATATTCTATTTGTTCACCAAAATTACATTGTAAATTATCTTCTGATATGTGAGTAAGTAGATTTATTAAATTTAGGAGTGGCAATGTCAGAATATCACAATTTTATCGCTTTATTATGAAATACACGCTTTAGTGTAAAATAAATAAAATAAATGTATTATTATCAGGTATAGATAGATTTACAACAGCTATTGATAGTGGTTGTTTATAAATTAGTAGTACCAAGATAAAGAAGTGAAAGAAAATTGTGTCGACTAAACAGTTAAAAATTAAGTGAAAGGTGAAAGGACTAAAGAATGCAATATCACTATGCAATATTTCAATAAGTAGTCATTAATTTTAAATAATACCTACACATTATATTAAAAGTAAATCTTATCCAATATTTAACTTGTTAAGATATTAACTAATTAAAAGAAGATATAGAAATTTAATTAAACAAAACACTATTAATAATAATTATTAAATGTTGCCTACTTAAATATTTAAAAAAAAGTTATGGGTCAAAATTTATTAGTAAATAGTTTGTAAACATTGCATGATTTTTTGATAAGGAAAATTATTAATTTTATAAGTAGATAATTTAAGAACTTTTTTAAAAAAAAAAGTAGGTACCAGGCATCCTATATTTTTAACTAGTGGCAATGAAAACTTGAATGATAATAAGTTTTAACTTCAACTCAACGCATGTTTTGAACTTACCATTTGAATTTTCGTGACGCCTACTGTCTGTATGAGTGCCTAGACCAATATCCAATTGACATGGTGGAATGTTCTCATTACCGTTAATTAATAAATTCTCTGTTTGACTGACTCCATCACCTTCTCTGTCACCATCACCATTCTGCTGATTAGCCGCAGCAGCATCATCAACGTCGTTCAATGAACTTTTGTCTTCTTCTTCGGACATTATGTACAGATATCATATAAAAATATGAATATAGCTCAGTAATACTTTTCCAAATAATTAATAATCAGATGGCCGTATTTATATAACACTAATAATATTATTAATGCATATCTATAACATTAAAAAGATAATTTTTCAAAAATTTAAGTTAATATGAAAGTCAAATATTTATCCATGGTAGAGCAACTAGTAAGTTGCAAGTAGCAAAATGTTTTAATCATTTTTTTTTTAAATTTACAAATGTAGTAGCGACAAAATGTGACAAAACAAAATTAAAGAGTAGGGAAATTTCGTGATAATAAATACAGTCTGCCCAGGTATTGGATATTAAATGTTTTTTTTTTCAGAAACTAAAGTAAGCACAGAACATTTTAACATAACTCAGTAATGTATTTGTATTAAGGTGCACAAATTAAGGTACATTTTAATTCGTGACGTTTGGAGCTTGAAATAAATAATATACTTTGAGGTTTAGGATCTAGGACGGGCGTCGAAAAAAAAAAAAAAGGAACATAGAGTTAATGGTCTCATTGCAACAACATTTTTGTCTGCGTTATTACTTGTTATCATACAAATAAAATATTATTTATTTGATTTTGATGCACGAGTCTTATATTATTTTGATGATTGATATAATAGATTATAATTAAAAATTTATAAACTAAAGATAAATTAATTTGATAATAGATCGATTTTTAATCATGGATGTTGATCCGAAGTACGACAAATAATCACACGACATAGAGCTTCGCAATCATAATCCACGGAATAGAATACGACAAAACGGCACTCAACCAAAATCACCATACAGTACTACCAACTTTATAATTAGGTATACATTTTAGGAAGGTACCTGTAAAAGTGTGTAATGTACAAATCTTGAAAAATAATTTTCGATTAATCCATAGACACCAACTTCGAATAAAAAAAAATTTGAATTTCCATGTACATATTACGGTTTTCTACTCAAGTTGGAACACGACTTTAATCGCGTGACTAGAGGCGGTGTATAGATGTACTAAAGCGCTAGTTGCGTGTTCCCATACAATAACATTTAGTTGTATGTAGCATTTCTAATATTTTAATGTTTTTTTTTATTAATTTAGACAAAATTATTGATCTTATGGTTAATGTACATACTATAAAAATTAAAGATCATACAATTGTATATAATATAGCATGTATTTAATATTGTTAGCGCAGTAAGGTAACACAAAACTGCTCTATGAAATATTAAGTAAAATATTTTAGTGTACTACAATTTTTTTGTTGAACTTAAAAGTATTTGATTTAGAATAATAATAGTAAATACCAAAATTAATTAATTTGGATAACGTTATTTTTTTTTCAACAATATGCTAAACATCTATATTATCTAATATGCAGTACATAGATAAATTATTCATTATTTTAGTAGCTTTTTGTGAAATCGCATACGATTTAACAGGCTAATCGTTGGGAAATGATAAAAAAAATATACAGCTTCCAAAATATTGTAACCTTGTTAAAGAATTATTTTATGTGCTTTATAAAATGCATGGTACTCGGTATTTATATCAAATTTCGATACTCTAAAAATATTTAATTCAAGTTTATACTAGTTTAAAGTTGCTGTACATGTGTCATTATAACAAAAATCTGGAAAATATTGTATAAATAATAACAAATATTTTTAGTTTTGGTATATTTTTAATTATATTAATGTATTAAATTGCCAAATGGTATATTCAAAATAATCTGCTACAATAGTTTTACTGTTAATATTAAAACTTTGTGTTCAACTAAGATATAGTCCAATGTTTAAAAGAGAACAAACCTCGTCAGGCTCTCTTTTTGACTGAAATAATAATTTACATGTGCAATATATTTTATAAATTAGTTTTAACAGTAAAATGTATTTTATTTATTTTTTATTTTAATAATTTAATGGTAATAAAAAAAAACTATTTGGTTGTGCTTCCGATTTAATTAAACTGTAGTTTAAAATTTGATTCTTGCAACCTGTAACAAATTTAAATTACAATTAGTTAATAAACAACCAAAAAACGATTGCTAATTACAATGTAATCTTGTATGACCATTTATATTCTGAAGTTATAAAAAATTAAAAAAAAAAAAAAAGGATGTTAGCAAAAGATTTATAGATTCTGATTCCTAAAATCAGGAATTTAAGGCTTCGTAGAAAGGCTGATAAGCAAAAAACAAACCATCATTCCTCATCAATAATTTCTAGCCCTAGCCAAATGCCACTATTCGAGTTGGGTCATAACTTACACAATTTGGAATCTGTTTGCATACAGATGTCTGCTCACTCATGTTACTTTATAAGCAAAACAATGATCATCGTCTGTCCTTTTGTTCACCTGCTAATCCATTGAAAAATAATACCTTAAGGCCTGATTATGGGCCCTAAATATCATGGCCTATGGCTCATTGCTCGTCATACCACCATATCGGTACGCCACTGATTATTTTCCACTAAATTAAAATTTAGATTATACGATATCCAGGGGCCCGAGGAAATGGCCCCCTTTACCTCCCCTTTTAATCCGGGCCTTTTAAGAACACAACAAAAACTTGCTTTAATCGAAAAATGACAAGTGATCATTTTTGTGTAATTTTGAATATAGTTGGTGTAATTGGATAAAGTTGGTTGTTTTTTTTTGTTTTGAACCGGTTTTTTTAAATAAGTGAGCACAACAGGGAAAAACGTAAAGAACAGGAAAGTTTACGGACATAATGATTTCATTATTTTCAATATTGTTTTTACTATTATAATTCAGTTAGAAATATTCTTTAAATAAACTTGATATTTTCAGAGAAAACTTAGATACAGAGGTGGCCAAAAGTCGCGTAACGCCTACCGTCTTGTATGAAACGCGCGTTACGTTAAGTTTTTCGTTAGCAATTTTTTATCATTGATTACAGATAATAGTTTAAATAACTATATGTACTTATTAAATTACCATTCTATGCCTTGCCTAAAAACGTCTTTCATTTTTCGTTGTTGTAAATAAATATACTCTGCACTTAACATAAATAAATCTCCATTGTCCTCGTCGTCAATATTTTTTCTTTTTAATATTTTCCACATTTTAATTTACTACAAACAAAATTTTGCGTACGTCTGAATTACTCGAACTTCAGTGACTGAATGAATACGAAAACAAAATATTTACATTTGGTTTAACTTTTAGTCATTTTAGTATGGACAGTGTGTTTTGTTGTTTTTTTTCAAAAAAAAAAATTGAGTTTTTTTTTGTTTCTGTGTCGGTTTAGTGTGGACCCAGCATTACCCTCCAAACTTCTCACCTACAACAGTGACTGTACTTGTCCCCAGTATAAGCACTATTTTTTTTTACTTACTGGTACAGTTATTTTCTTACTGGTATATTTTCTGGAACTGGAATTGATTTTGCTTGGCATAACATTGGTTAGAGCACAAGCTTGACAATTTTCATATCAAAATGTTTTTTTCTTTGAAATTATCAATTTTCTAGGCAAATTTGATTTTTGTGTATTTTTTTGAACATAATTCATTTTTGAGGTTGTAACAATATTGGTGTCACTGTAGTATTGCATCACAATTCACAACCACGTGGTTATGTGTTTAATTAATTAAGAACTTAATAGTAGGTATACTAAAATATTTGTATTCATTTTATCATATATTCATAAAGTATAATTGATAACCTACTGATGTATGATAAATTGTGTGTAATTGTATTTATTTAAAACTAAGTGCAAAGTAATTTTTAATAACTAGGTATATAAAAAAGTAGATAGGGTAAAATTGTGGAAACAATTAAAATAAAAAAGAACAATTCTGAGCAGAGTTCCGTTAATAGTGATGCTTTGTCAACAATACGAGTGTGTATGTCATATTATGTTAAAATAATTAAATAGGCATTATATATTTTTTTTTACGTTTTTTTTTGGTTTTCCCATGTTTTTTCACATTTATTGGGAAAACTCTTAAGAAAATCGAAAAAAAGACCTTATTAATTTACCTTCCTAGTCAGATTTCCTTTTTGAAAAAGTGCTATCATTGTAAATTGCATTAAAATTGCCGGTAGAAAAGTTGTCAACAGGAAAAAATGTCATAATATATTTCGTACATTTTCCCAGTTTTCCTCCGTCTTCTTCGGTTTTTCACATTTGATGAAAAAAATCAAAATATGACCTTATCCTCACCTTTCAGAGAAGATATTACACTTAAAAACTGGAGCTGAAACTTTTCTCTGGTAGAAAAGTTAAAAATAATAAACATCTTTGTGAAACCATAAAGTTCTTCGTTCCACTCACAATCTAAAATTAAAAAATCGCGCTAATATAAATATTCTGTGTAAAATTCAGGTCTGTATGATTATTTTTAACCCAATTATAAAAAAAAAAATTCGAAATGAAGGAAACCGTTATTTCCGTAAACTTTCTGGATTTTCCGACATTTTCCGGTTTTTCGCATTTAATAAGAAAGCTGCAAGGAAAAAGAATTTAAAAAAAAATTAATCAATTTTAAATGCATCGACTAGATCTAAAATTGAACAAAAAAATTTCTCTTTTTATTGTATTACGATTCCTGTTAGAAAAGTGGTTTACAAATGAAGGGAGAGGTAAAGGAAACATGACACATTATAGTAAAACCAATAAAAAAACTTCTCGCTGTGCTAACCCTTTCCAGTGTTAGACTAGGAACCATTGGTTGGGTCGCTTCGGTCGCCAATTCGAAGCCCGAGTGCGAACTCATGTCGGACTTTTAATCAAAATTAAACCTCGATTGTTGTGTGATAACCTCGTCGGGTAGTTTACATTGAAAAAAGCGCGTTGAGAAAACGTCTACCTGCTCTACGGAGTAACAGAAATATTTTAGAAGCCAACGATAGTTATTTGTTATTATTATTTTCCCGAATATTACGTTCCGTTGTATCATTCTCCTGTGTTTTACGCGTCCCCGTGATCGCACAATAATATGACGACGACGAACCGTGTCCAATGCGTTAGTGTCAGCGGCTGCGGCGGCGTCGCAACGTTTTAGACTAACAATGTTATTATACCGGTAAAAACAATACGACGAACATAAATAATAATAATAACAATAATAATATTAGCACAAAACACGTACGCGTTATATCTAATATGATTATCACTGGTAAGGGATAATTATTTTTTTTTTTTCCCGGACGAGCTGTCGCGATTGTCGAACAAGCGGATACGAAACCGGTGCGCCGAACAAATCGGCCGGCCGAAAACCGCTGGCTGGTGGTGGTGGGGCGGGCGTGCTGTTCGCGGCAAACAAACTAACGATAAAAAATACGCCTCGCAGACCGCAGTTTCCGATCAGCGACCGGCCTGTGCTTACGTTCTTTCGAATTAATATTTTGTCGCAACCCGTCCTCGTCGTATCACATCATGCCTTCACGTATTGTCGTACTGACATGTTATTATTAGTACTGGTATCGTACTATTGTTTTTTTTTTTTTTTTCAATATAATAATAAAAACCGAGAGGTTAACCCACCAACGGTATCAATTAGCGCGCTGTTTCGCCCTTCACCGGCGAGTGTAGTCGAGTCGAGTTCCGTTATATTTATGAAGTTTTCCAAGACTGTGGGTAACAGCTGGCACAATGTGCTCGACCAACTACAGCCGAGAATACCTGGTGAAACCCACGACGAACGGTATGGTGGACGAGAGGAGCTACATACTCCAACAGCAGCAGCGACAGGTCAGTTTTCGAACCCTCTCCCCCTAGTCAGTTATATGTATTTGCTTCGGTTTGGTTCATTATTTAAGCCGGGTCTTGACTGTTATTACATAATATACACAGATGTTACGAACATATAAAGAATACCGCCTCAAATATCACACATAAGTATACTGATATGCATACATGTTAAATTATCAATAGTACGGACAAGTGTAAACGTCTGCAAAAACTATATTCAATTTTATTAGAATAGATATTGGTAGCCGGTAGATTTTTGTATTAAACATGTACTAATATTGCAAAATAATAATTATTATGATGCTCTTTTGATTTATTTTATTGTTGATTTAAGTTTTAACAAATTAAATTTTTTTTATTTTTGTTGGTACCGATGACAGACTGGGAACTGCTGTGGTATTACTTCCGGTCCGTCACCATCGTTTATTAAATAAATAACACACACATGCATAACAATCGTGAGTATGTGATAGGAATCCCTGCCACAGTGACACTAATATCATTATAACAATAAATATACTCTATGCTCTGTATACAATATGCATATATGTATATTATATATTTTTCCAGTTACTTTTAGTGACTCCCTTTGTAACTTCTTCAAAATGAGATCAAAATCGGGAATTATAATTGTTTTGTGGGCGGATTGAATTGATACGGGTTGGATTGAATTTTATAATGAATTTCACCATGTTGCTGCATGTTATTTTAGCTTTAAACGCTCTTAAACATCCCCAAAATGAAGCCAGAGAGATAAAATAATATATTACGTGCGGCGTTAGTATCAAGGTTGTACTTCTTGGGGTTTTTAACTTTCAACCACCATCCTATAATTTATATTTATTTTTTTTTGAAAATAGTGGGTATCAGGATCGCCCGAAGGGGGACAAGACGGAAATCTCTGTGAATCTCCCTGTACTTCAAAATTTCAAATATATTTTTAAGAATTAATCAATATAAAATTATTTTAATTATTTTTTTGGTGTATGGCAGATATATTATAGTGTAGATTTGAACATTGAAGTACAGTATTGTATTATTATTTATTATAGTGTTTAGTTATTTATTATTCATATTTTACAAAGAATATTTTTATTATACAAAATAGGCATGTCAAATAATGGCAGCTCTGCTGCTCACGGGTTTTTATTTTTCAACAGAATTTGCGTATTTCCCATATTAGTCTTATTTTATTTGTTTTTTTCCCTATATAATGTTATTATCATTTGTACTGCTCGATATTGTACGTGGTGTAAATATTGTCCGAGCTTTTATGTTGACACAGTTACCTACACCGGTTCTTTAACGCGTTCAGTAAGTATATATACCAAAAAAAAAAACTTATTTGTTTTTTACAGTACTGTTGTTTGTAGTTCTTTGCAGATGTCGACGACACACGCAGTTACACCATTCCATATCTATGTGTTTTTATTCTTTTATAAATTCACGCAGACTTCTTTTATCATTAATTCAATTTTTGAATATTGCTATAACATAATAACGTGTTGATTCGGCTTTATATACTGCCACGCGTCTTGCCACTAATCCGTTAAATTCGAACGCATAATGATTACACACATCAATAATTATTGTAGTGAATACAAAAGAAAATTTGTACTTGTCTTTCAGCATACACTTATCAATAAATATTTGTAAAATTAATTATAAATAATTCTAATATTTTAAGTGAATAGGTATATTTAAATTAAACTACAATAATAATCGTAAAGGAAAAAAGACGGGCATACTTAGTACAATGGGTGGACAACTCTTGTAGGTGAGAACATGGGAAGGTAGAAGGGAAATTTAATACTTATCTGTACACAACGATTAACCATTGCAAAACTATTCTGACCGGTGTTCGGTTAATAGTGTTGCTTTGTCAACCATGTATATATATGTCATATTATGGTAAAATAAATACATATGCATTATATATTTTCTTTAATGATATTTGTTTACTATTATACCTGTTTTCCAGTTTTTCCTACGTTTTTACTCATTTTTTTCGGTTTTCCTATTTATTGGGAAAATTTCTGAGGAAATCAAAAAATTACATTCTTAAAGTGCCACCCCAGTCAAAGTAACTTTCAGAAAAAGTGCTATAATTAAAAACCGGAGTAAAATTGCTGGTAGAAAACTTGTAAACAGAAAAAAAAATAAATATCATTGTAAAATCAATCTTAAACGATCGACGATTTAATTTGGAAAATGTATGGTCTCTTCTATAACCCTGAGACTCAAGTGTGAGAGAGAAGATTTAATTGACAGCTGAAACAATTGTATGGAAAAGGAAGTATTGTTCAGTTTATAAAAGACGTAAGACTGGGTTGTGCAGGTCAAATCTGGAGAACAGATAAGAGTATAATGAAAACAGTATTTGTGAACAACCTAATAGGAAAAGTAGACCGAAAAACGGCGATTAGATGTGGTCAAAAGAAACATAGTGAAATTGAAACTAAATTGACATGGAGACATAAACCAAATGTATAATAGGACAAATTTGAAAAAAAATGTTATTGGCTATTGGTATCAACGGGACTATAATGATCAAAAATAATAATAATAATAACAATTAAACAAAGAAATATCATACACAATAACATTTTCGAAAGTCTTATGAATATGTTTGTGTAAATTTGAAAAAGAAATATATTCTAAAAAATTGATAATAAACTTTAATTTTATTTGATGAACTATTTATATATTATATTTATTGTTGATAATAAAAAAAAGAAAAAATTATTATTTAAATTCGTACAATTTTTTTTAAACTAATGTTAACTAAAGGCAAATTCCCAACTAAAGGTAGGTATTTATCAGGTACGCTTTTCAAGAGCTTTATGTAAAAAAAAAAAACCATATATAAATTTGATACTTTTTGATAATTATATACGATACTGATTTATTGGTTTACAAAAAAGCTATTATAAGAGAGGATTGACAATTTGACATCTAATACTTTAGAAGAGATTGGGTTTCAGTAAACTTTACTTTTTTAAAATTCTCAATATTGCGAAGAAGCTCTTAGTTTAACTAAGGTTTGTATTTTGTGGAAAAAAACTTTTTTAGGTAGTAAAGTATTTCAATTTTTTCACATCATAACTTAAAAGAAACAGATTTTCCGCTGAGATATTAGATTTTAAGAATTTTTAAACAATTACAAATGACAAAACAACGTAGGTTTTACTTTTGTAAACAAATTATTTTTATTATTTTTGGTCTCCTTAGGCTATACAAAGAAAAAAGTGCGACTAATAGTGTAACCAATAAACCTAACCTTATATCAGTTTTTACTAAGCTCCGTTCAGAATTATTTTTCGATTCCAATGACTTATCGTTGCTTTCAGTACATCAACTTTATTGTCTTATATCCTATACCTTCCAAACTTCCCACATACAACAGTGGCCTATCAATTTGCTACAGTGCGATGTAAGTTCGGCTTTTAAGTTATTTATAATAAATCATAAAAAATAAACAACAAATGAAAAATAACAAAAAATGCTACCTATTTTCTCATATATTATTATTGAATATAAATTATAAAATATGATTTTAAATTACTAATATTTTACTAAATTTTCATTGAAAAATGTTTATAGTAAATATTAAAATGATAATAATATGAATGAAATTGGAATAAAAAAAGTATGAAAGATTTAAATTTACATCGTATATTTATAATTTATGTATTTGATCAGAGACATTGACTTTTTTTAGATTCTGAGTGGAGCGAAGACGCTTATGGTTTTACAAAGATGTTTATTTTTTTTTTTATATCTGTGCGCATTTTTTCTACCAGAATACTTCCTAAGAGCAGCACAATTTTTGAAACGAATTTGGTGTGTGAGGTACTTTAAGGAGGTCATTTTTCGATTTTCTGAGGAATTTTCTCTTCAAATTTGAAAAACTGAAAAAGAACGGCGGAAAATATAAGAAATGTAGGTATTAGTTAAAATAATATATTACGATCTTCTTTTTTTTTTGTTCAAAACTTTTTTACCACCAATTTTGCTGACGTTTAGAGAATTTTGATAACGTCTAGAAAAGGCTGAAGAAATAAGTACTCCGTGAAAATGACGGGTCTTAGTTTTTTATGATTTTAATCGAATTACAAAAAAAAAAAATTATTATCCTACATTATTCTTAATTATCAAAAAAACTACTAGGAAAAGAGATTACATAAACTAGCAATATTTTCTTTTGAAAATATGTTACACATCAATAAAACTTAACATTGCAGACAGAAAAATAGAAACTACATTATATAGTCAAACAAATATAAGTTCCACACCCAGAATTTAAACAAATTGAATTTACTGAATAGAACAAAAATTATTTGGTTTGTCAGATGTATATGGGACACTGTGCTTTTTTATAAAGAATTTTTTTTGGGAGCTATAATAATATGAACTGTATATAATTTTTAAAATACGGTTTATTTGATTTGAACATTATCCTTTTAAAGTGTATTTTTTTTATTATCACGATTTATTTTACTTAATTTGAATTTTCCTCATCCGACTTCGTATGTAAAGTAAATGCGTTTTTGAAGTATATTTACAAAACCGTCGCGCGTTATATTGACTCTCCCGTTCGCGCTATTTGATTTATTTACTTTTATTGTTTCGAATCGAAGTGCCCGTGCTATATTCGAGTTTTACGCATAATATAATTATATTACTTCTATATACCTATTTACATTATTATATAGATTTAAATTCACATTTCAACTGTCAGTATAACGTGCAAACACAGTTATTTACGAAATTATTAAAGTATATAATATATAGGTATAAAACGTGGTCGATGATAATATTATATATATAGTGGAGTTAAAATTTGCTACAATAAACTATTGCTAACGAGCAAAGTTCAGTTGATAGTAATGTTTTGTCAACAATTTATATGTTATATTGTGGTAAAATAATTAAATGGGCATTATATATTTTTTTTAATAAAATTTGTTTAGTATTGTACCGATTTTCTCGTTTTTTCTATGTTTTTCCCAGTTTTCCCGTGGTTTTTCCCGGTTTTCACATTTTTTGGGAAAACTCTTAGGAAAATTGAAAAACGACCTTAAAGTAAAGGGTTTATTAATAAGAGCGAGTCGATGTTGAAATGAAATAAAACAAGCTGTGTCTGAGGTATTAACGAAATTATTTTTTTATTTGAAAGTTCTACGTATGCCAATTATGTTTGGAATATAATATCATTTAAATGTCTGCCACGGCTTCTCACAGTGGCACGAATCCGAGTGGTCCAATTTTTAATGACTCTGTCGTATAGATCCGGTTGAATTTGAGCGTTGGCCTGGGCCCATGTTCACTTTAAGGTCATCTGTCGATTTCGGCTTATTGGCGAAGACCTGCGACTTCAGGAAACCTTACAAGAAAAAGTCAAATGGAATCAAATCACACGATCTTCGTGGACAATTCACGTCTCCTCGGCGATAGAGAACCATACCCTCAAATTAGTCGTTCAGAATGTCTATCGTGGCTTTGGATATATGGTACGTAGTACCATCCTGCTGAAACCAAATGTTGTCTACGTCCATATTGTTCATTTTGGGAAAAAAGAAATCGGTCATCATCGTTCTGTATCGCTCACCATTGACGGTGATGGCCTCACCAACGTCGTTTTCATTAAAAAGTATGGACCAATAATGCCGCTGGCCCAAAATCCGTACCAAACAGTAACTTTTTGTGGATACATTGTTACTTTTTGAACCTTGTATGGGTTGATATTGCCCCATTTCCGGTAATTTTGTTTGTTTACATAGCCATTCATCTAAAAATGCGCTTCGTCACTAAAGATGATTTTTCGGCCAAAATTAGGGTCCTCTTCTAAACGATCCGAAATCCAGTCAGCAAACAATTGGCGTTATCTATGATCATTAATTTTAGGCTCCTGGGTCAGTTGGATCTTGTACGGGTGTAAGCTCTAGTCCCGGCGCAAAATTCGTCAAGTTGAAGACTGTGAAAGACCGAGTTCTTGTGCACGGTGAGGAATTGACTGCCTCGGGTTCTCCTGTACACATTCATGTACCACGGCGATATTATCGGCCGATCAGGCGTTTTTTTTGACGTACGGGTGTTAACTGATCGTTTACCGAACAAGTTGTCTCAAATTTTGTTACCAAACGTCGGAATGTGGACTTTTAAGAGTCATTACGTCGGCCAAAAATGAACGTAACGAGTGCAAAGTTTGCACTATCGAACATTTATTTTGATAATAAAATTGTATCATTTGGACGTGCTGCTCAATAGTGTAACTTACCATGATGATTTGGCATTAGTGACTGAATAATAAAAAATAAGATAGACGTCACCAAAACGATAAGGCCATACAACGCAGATAACATCGGCCCGCTCCAATTGGAAAACCTGTTATTACCCCAAGAAAATTGACTTTCAGTAAAGGGTCTACATTGTATACATCGGAGTTAGCTTTCTGGTAGAAAAGTGTTCACATAAAAAAAAAACAAACATCTTTGTAAAATCAATATATTCTTCGCTACACTCAGAATTAAAAAAAAAAAAAATAAAAAAAAAAAATAAGAACTGACTCTCCACTCTTCCCTGTTCTCAGCTAACCTCTTCATTACAGTGTAACTCGATAGCACCGGAAATCATTTGTTTGACAAATGAAGTTCTTGAACGTCTTTAGCTCCTTTTACCTTCAATTTTCCCTTCTATTATTCTATAAACTAGTTAATTTTCGTGCCTCAATATATGATCAATCATCAATGTCTTGCTTTGATGGTTTCGATTATCTATCTGCGTTCATCTATTCACTGAGTATACTTTTGTTGGTCTGGTGTTTAACCCTACTCACTCGCAGCATTCTTATCCAATACCACATTTCAAAGCTTTCGAGAATTCATTATTCTGTTTTATTTATTAACCAGGTTTCTCAGCCATATACTACCACACTCCATACAAATGGATATACATATGGTTACTTTATGAAACGAATCTTCACCTCAATACTTTGTTGAATCATAACAATTTGTTTTTATTCACAAGTACTGACTTCGCCTATGCGATTCTGGATCGTATTTCCATGACGTATCTGCTGTCTTAGTTGATGCAATGAAATTACTAAACTTTAAATAGGTTTTATAATTTTATTGTATTTTTCACAAATTCTTAGTCCAAATGACTAAATATTTCGATCGATCATTGATCAGTAGCATCCTCAGTAATTTTCAATAATGGGGGGGGGGTTGTGGATAATTTCTAGATAAATATGCAGGAGGCTCTCGGTGCACACCTCCTATTTATGACATTTAATATTATTTTGAAGAATAAAAATATAAAAAAAAAAAAAATAACAATAGAATATTTAATACACTTTTTTTTTTTTATAATATAAATTCTAATNTTGAAGAATAAAAATATAAAAAAAAAAAAAATAACAATAGAATAATTAATACACTTTTTTTTTTTTATAATATAAATTCTAATTTTTTTGGTTTTTCATCAGAATTTGCTTTAGAAAATAAACACTTAGATCTTTAGAAAATAAAAATGCATTTTAAATACTACACAAAATTTAATTTAATTGATAAATAATGTATCATTAACCTTTAATTATATTTTTGTGCATCAAAAACCTTTCATTTAATTGCTGAATAAATGAATCAATAAATGGGATGGCTACAGTTATACGATAGTATTTTTCAGGAGTAAGATCATCAACACAGGGGTTAGCTTGATTTTTGTTTATTTTAATTACATGTTTAAATGAGATACCTATGCCAACCACTTCAGAAATAAACTAGCGAGTAACAACTATAAAAAAAATTTAATAACGAAAATACATTTTCAAAATGGCTCATACGAGTCGCGACAATCGCGAATTTTTGGTATCATGATTCATCAAAATTCAAAATAGTCATTAGTTATTACACAACATAGATTACATTTAAAAAAAAATTGATTAAATTGATTGATAAGGACATGTTCCACCATGAGTTGATAACCACATTAACTAATACACTATAGACCTTATACACCTTGACCAGTAACCATATAATAACTGATAATGAAAATCAATGAGTTATCATTTCACTCTATATATAATCAGTCAATTATTATAATAGTTTATCAATAATACTTTCGTATAACAAATATATTTATATTGTAATACTATAAATATAAATTATACTAAGAAACGATGAATATTCACATTCCTTACAAGTATAATACGAATTAATTTAAAAAAATATGGCCAATGGGAGGGGGGTTGAGCCCCATGAACTCTCTACCCCTGTGAGTACACCCATAATCCTCAAGTTAACTTATAAATCATAATTCTGTGCACGGTCTAAGGATATGATTTACATAGGTATATTACGATACGATACTTGTATATTGTCATAGATTTGAATTGTATATATTAAATGTGTCACTGAAAACAATTTAAAAAAATATATATATGTTTTTGGCGACAGGCGCGACAATCATGAAAATATATTATTATCAATAACTCAGTTAATATTTTTATCAGTATATGCTCGTATGCGGGCGTATAATACCTACGTATGGTCTATTTTTCAAAAAGGCAAGTACGCTACGATTCACAAAGACGATTTGGGTACATTAATCAAATGCATATATTTATATTTTTTTAAATGAAATCATTAAAACAATTATTATTTTCTAATAGTAATTATTATTAATATACGGGTTCGTGTTGATGTATAAATCGTAGCATTAACGTAGGTTTAAGAATATGTTCCCTATAGGTACCTAGAAATACGTGTCCTTCATAAAATTGAAGTTTTTATTTAAAAATATATACGTAGTCTTATGTATTGTAATAAACTGTTTTTAAATAATACATTTGATAATTTTCGAGTTTATTGCTGAATCGGAAAATTATATTGACAAACGAATTAATACGAATTAAAAAACTACTTGAAACTTAAGAGGGCGCATGTATGTCCAAATAATATTGATAATCAATTATTAATGTACAAAATGATTAAATATTAATAATATTGAGACCGTAGTAGTTTTCTGCAATATTGATGAGGTATGCTTATTATAAGCTAATAATTATTTTATTTATTTTTTTTATTTACATTTTTTTTTGCAATTCATAAAAAGATTTATGAGATGCTTAACATAATCAACAGTACCCGTGTAGTATATAACGTATATTATTTAGTGACAATAATTTGTAGCGTACATAACAAAATTTATATAGGTTAAGATAAAAACGGTTCTTATAGGTTTTAATCAAAGATCTAGCATGGTAATAATTAATTGTATTAATAAATTATAATTTGTGAGAATAAAAGTACGCATTTTCATATTTTGATATTATGTTTATACGAGTGTAAAATGGTACTAAAATTATTATCAGCAAGGAGTTTTATTATAATTAACAATGGACGCATTGACCTATGTGGTAATTATAATAAATCAATATAACTGTATATTATATTACATAATATAAGTAAATATAATATTTAAATAGTGATTATCTTGATGAATACTAAATATCTTTTTTATTTTTGAAATTTCCAATTTGTTGACACTCTTTTTAAACAGGTTTTAAACGATACATAAAATATCCTTGTTGGATGCTTATCCTCTATATCCTCTATTTTTTAAAAAATTTCTTAAATATAATTTAATGAATACAAATTTTACTTTTTGTCAAATTTTAATATACAAAATGACGTGAGATTTTTAATAGAAAAATTACAACGATTTCATTAATTCTGTATTGAAAGGGGCGGACCTAAATCGACCTTTTGGTTTTCACCCAAATGACCTTTTTTTACCTAAATTCAAAAAAGAATGATTAAGTTTTCATCAAAAGTAATATTATACATTGTAAACGAAAAATATATTTTGGTTACCACTATCCACGAGTTGTAAACAATAGTTCAGCTTGTGTAGGAAACTCCAGATTCTAAATCAAATTAGGTATACATCGTTATCTCGCCGATTAGTTAGATAAGTTACAATCGGAAATTACGCTGAATTATTGAAGCTCATTTAGCTTTAGAAAATACAGTTGTAATACGTTGTAAAGGCGAACAATTTTTAGTTCTTATTGATAAAATAAAAATATTTTCATTTTTTTATGTGATACAAATTTAAATAATATTGTGCGTAGTTGATTTAATTTACGTTTATGAAACATTTAAATGCTTTACTACACAGGTATAAATAACACTTTTAATAAAAAAAATACAGCGGTAACCAAAATGTTTTTATCGTTTATGATGAACAATATTACTTTGGGCAAAACCAAATCATTCTTTTTTGAGTTTGGGTAAAAAAGGTCATTTGGGCGAAAACTAAAAATCGATTTTGAATGAAAACATGTACTCCCATTGGAAGAGTATTAAATATTTATAATGAGGTTAAGAAAAATAAGTTCAAAAACATCTTGAGTGTATAGATAGATTTTAAAAATATTATTCTATAGGTACCTATCAATATTTCTTAGAAAATAATAAAAAGTGTTTAATCTATGACATCTCACCACGTATTACAATCTCTTATTATATCAGTTAAGTCCTTGTGTAAAAAAATAGTAAAAATGTATTGTTTAAAACTTAACCTAACCTAAATTAAGTGAAACAAATTATTATAAATTTTTATAATTTTGGACAATTTATGAAAACAATGAAATATCAGTTAATAATAGCCTACCATTTAATATGCTTATCATTGATGTTACGTATTCATACTGTAATAAGCGGTTAAACATACGATTAAGTTATTATATTGATTGTAAATGATGATTTATGGTTAGAAAATAGATTTCGACATAAGATGTTGAGTTGTGAAATCAATTTCATAGAGATTATTATTTAATGTGCTATATATGTATCTATACGTACCTATTTGTATTGTTTATAACGATAATACTGTTTATTTTGTTTAGAGTTTCGAGGTACTAGTGGTTATAGGTTACCTGTTTAAAAATTTCAAGTCAAAGATACCTATTACCCCGCTTATTACATTATTACTTTAGTATCCACTGTTTGTGTGTAAGTGTAATACCTATTTAAATTAAAATATGAACGAAACACATAAGACATAATTGAGGCATATTATTACCAGTATACCCAATATTAGTGATCTGAAAGTGGTATAGTGATGCGAAGGAATTGTACACTCTATAGTTCCGGATATTCTAATTATTACAATTTAAAACGCTTCTATGCATTTACAATTCTTTGGATGTATATATAAAGCTCATCATTATAACTATGTTACCTAATAAATATTAGGTAAGTATTACCTTCTATTACGAGTCTATTATTATTGTATACCTATATTGATTTTGTTGGTAATAATCATTTTTGGGTACCAATTCTTTTTTTTTTTGTATTGTTTTATTATTTATATCTGTTGATCAGTTATTTTATTTATTTATTTTATTATTATTTTTACACGCTATACGAATAAATAAATTTTAATTTTGTTGTTAAAATATAGGCATTGGACGGAGTCGACAACCACAAAAACTGTCCAAAGTTCGCGAGCTTCAATTACATCAACTCAATTATTGGTAGCGGTGTTATCGGTAAGTTGGGCAATACTTAACTTTTCATTATAATTTAACCGAGAAGCATTGAAAACTTGATAAGGACAATAATTCTGTAAAACCACAATCAGCTTACCATAACCATAACCATTATTAAACTATAATGGGTGTATACTTATAATATTTTAATTTCTTGATACTTTGCACAGCAATCACAACAAATCGTTTTTTTAAGAAGCCGGGTAGTTGCGTTATCCTTTTTGAGTATTAATATTTATTTATATGAGTATTATTGTTAAAATAATAAAATATTTTTTCAGTACTGTTGTTAAAAAAAAAATATATATATTTTTAACGATAATATTAAAGACATTTAATTAGTGAAATTTATTATAACACATTATGGTATCCACCAATTTTGAGCAATTTCCGTAATTAAAAAAAGTTGTCCAATGATAATGGGGATGGATGCAACCGCTGTTGTAGGTGGGAAATTAGGAAGGTAGGATATAGATGGGAATTTAATATATATCTGTGGGAAATGATATTGCTAACGAAAAAACGATTCTGAACGCAGTTCAGTAGATAGTGATGCTTTGTCAACAATGTATATGTCATAATATGGTAAAATAATTAAATAGGCTTTATATATTTTCTTTAATAATATTTATTTAATATTATTCTGATTTTTCCATTTTTCCTGCGTTTTCCCCGTGTTTTTTTCCCGGTTTTTCACATTCACTGAGAAAAGTCTTGGGAAAATTGTAAAATGATATCTTCAAAGTACCTTCCCAGTTAGATTTTCTTTTTGGAAAAGATCTACATCGTAAACATCTGAGTAAATTTTCTGGTAGAAAAAATATTCGTGTAAAAAAAAATTATCATTTATCATTATTATAATTATCATTATTTGTAAAACCAATACATTCCTCGCTCCAATCAGAATCTAAACTTTAAAAGTTCAGAAATATGTGTATGTGGTATTATTACACCCAGTGATACTGTATGGATCAGAAACTTGGCTTTTCAGAAAAACGGAAGAAATAAGGCTGGGTGTTTTTAATAGGAAAATATATAAGAAAAAACTCGAGGTCCTTTTTTAACACATTCTAGCATTGCAAAAGGAATCTCTATTAGAAGACTGAAGTGAACTGGATATGCTTGGAGGAAACCGGGTTTAATAATTAGGACCGTAATAAAAAATAACCTGTATGTAGGTAACCGAACTTTAGGAAGACCCCGTCTAAGATTGGAAGACTGTGTGACCAGAGATATAAGAGTGGTGAAATCTAAGCACAATGGAGAGAAGCGACAAAGAACATATATACGTGGAGAGCAGGTTTTAAAGGTCATTTCCCAAAAAAAAAAAAAATACAAATTTTTGGCTATACTAGGTTATTGAATTGAGTTTAGTATAATTTTATTATATTTGAAAAATATTTTTAATGCGGAAGTTAATACTTTATAATATATACCTGCTCTTAAAAAATGATTTCAAAGTATAATAATATAATCGTCCTGTGAATTGGATTTATAATTTTAAATAATTTATTTTTTACTCCAAAGCTTAATTATAGCAAATTCTCATGTATAGGTATAATTATATACTAGATAAATTCTCTTAAATTTATCTGTTACAGATATGACTTAGCTCAAATTTTATTATCTATAGATAATATTTTAATATTTGGTGTAATAAATCACGCTTCGTGATATTAACACACATTTTTATTTTAAACGTCATTGATCATTGATAAAACAATAGTAAAATGTTGTTTAGAACAAATTACGAACAAAATAATTCATGGTTAACTATAAATTAAATTGTTGTTTTCGATTTATCGAAAACCCAATTAAAAAATCTAAATCGGATTGTTGCAGAGTTTAGGTATCTACCTATTCACTAATTTAACAAAATCAAATTAATTTACTGGTGAAAAAAAAAATGTTTAAATCAAATTTTAAAATAATTTTAAAAAGTTTTCAATACGAAGAAGTGTTTTTAATTATTATAATAATATTTATTATAATACTTTAAGTTACAATAATTATTCATTTTGATGTTTTATATTCTGAGTGTAGTCAGAAATGCGTAAATTGGTTTAACTATTGATTACCTATAAATTTAAATACTTGATTTAATTAATTTAATTTAATCGATGATTTAACCAATAATGTGTGATGTTTAAAAAACATTTTTATTCTACGTTTAACATTTTTCCACTGAGAATTTTGATTCAATCATCATTAATCTTAGGTTGTTTCTGGCAGACAATTTTGTTTAGTCGGAACATTGGGACGGACATTTGTTTTATTTTCTCTAAGATGTTCTTAATGATTAAAAAATAATTTAAAAACCGTGCTGATCTGAAGTTTTCATAGAATACTTATAAAAGCATTTTCTTGACGTGATAAAGTGTTTAATTCAATCGATTTTTGAAGTATTTATAGGAATATGATATTATGTGCGAGGTTGTTTTTTATGTTTGCTGTAATTACGAATTTTTTATAGTTAATTTCTATCAGCGTTTTAAGTTCAAAGTTAAGTTGAAATTCGTTAAACAAAAAACAATCGATTTTTTTTGCGATTTAAAATAAATACAATTTTTCGTATGAATTGATCAATACTGCATGTTAAGCGAACTTCGGTCAGAATTGTTTTCGTTTTCACTATTTGTTGTTTCATACGGATATCAATTAAATTATCTTATATTATATATCCTGTACCTTTCCGACTTTTGTTCTTTTAAATTTATTAATAAAAGTGTAGGCAATTTTTTTTTTCTACGTATTATTAATATTTTGTTTCCGAGCATAATCGCATTTCAATATATTGCCAGTCCGTATAATATTATTGTTAATTAATAATAATTAATTACCTAGCACTCTGTCCTAGTGTAAAAAATATATAATTAAGACTTTAGTTGCCACTATTTAAAATATGTAAGATTAAATTGACAAAAAAAATATTCGCATATCTATAGTCGATAAAAATACAAGTACATACACTTAAATAGAAGACGCATTAAAATACTAGGTATATATTAAATTATTTTTTAACTAAACTTTCACGTCTTCGATAAGACTATAATACGTAGGTATTGGTATATAATATTTACCTTTGAATTTGCGTGATTACATAATATTACTTATATATACTCGTATACGAGTAAATAAAGTATATGATGTCGTCATATTTTATTACAAATATTCCATATATTCATAATAGTTATGTTTAAAAACAATTATAAAAACTATTTGTCGTAAACGTTTTTAAAATTATTTAAAATGATTAAAACGATATAAAATCTGGGTGAATACTGGGTTAAAGGTGAATACTGTTTTTTTTTTTTTTTTTTTTTTAATTTTTTCTACTTGCCTCATCAAATATACATATAAAAAAGGTACGGACAATGGACATACTTCGCACGATGGGTAGGCCACTGTTGTAAGTGAGAAGTTGGGAAGGAAGAGAGAACATTTAATGTACATCTGTACGCAACGATAAACCGTTGCTACCGAAAAACGATTCTGAGTGGAGTTCAGTTGGTAGTGTTGCTTTGTGATATTTACAAATTAGGTCGTAATAAATTTACGAATTTTATCAACATTTGTATATAAAATAAAAATACTACATAAAAATCAATTTTTTTTTTTTTTTTTTGGACCACAAACTATGATTAATGATGAATTGCCCGTTAAATTTTCTAGCAATTCTGTTTGGTTTATCTGTTTTTTCTGTTTTATCCTACTGAACAAAAATTACGTACAAAAAACCCGTAAAATTAAAATATCTATAAATAGCTTAAAAATATCTATAGTGTTTTATCACGTCTAGAAAAGGCAAATATAAATTTTCCGTTCGAACTTCAAGTCTTCAAGTTTTAACTGAACCAAAGAAAAAACCAAAAACAACAAATTTATAACATGATACAGTTCGTAAATTTTATGTTTTTCATACGTTTATTCCATTTATTGGGTAAACTCCTGGAAAATTAACGATTTTCTTAAAGTATCACCTCACTTAGATTTTCTCTCAAAAAAAGTGCTATACTTGAATATTGGGGCAAAATTTCTGGTACAAAAGTTGTCAACAGAAAAACAAATAATTGTTTCATTATTGTAAAATCAATAGTTACATTCTTTGCTCCGCTCAGAATCCGAAAGATACAGACATACATTGTACGACTTTACACATTTAGGTATATTTATTTATTCAATACTTTTTAGAAAACATGATATTATGTTATATTTTTCATATACTTGTAGTTTTTTTTTTGTTTGTCTAATTACTTTCTTTAATCTGTGAATTTAATTACACGCCCAATCAGATCACGGTATGTCTATATTTTGTTTAAAAAGAGACGAACATACTTCATACAATGAATGGACCATTGTTGCAGGTGAAAAGTTGAGAAGGTAGGATATATAGGGGAATATAATGTACATCAGTATACCACGATGTACGCAACGATTAATCATTCATAACGAAAAACGATTCTGAGTGGAATGCGGTTATACATGTTTTAAAGGGCCGTAATATTTACGGTTTGAAAATAATACATTTCGTAATTTTTCCCGTTTTTCTTAAGTTTTTTTTCTAGTTTTCCCCATTTATTACGAAAAATTAAAAAATGACTTTCTTAAAGGACCCCTCCAGTCAATTTCCCATTCAGAGAAGATGAACATGATACACTTGAACATCAGAGCAAAATTTCTGGTAGAAAAGTTGTTCAAAAAAAAAAAAAAAATGTAAAATTAATTCATTCCTCGTTCCGCTTAGAAACTAAAAATACAATATAATAATATTAATGTCACAACATATTGCATTCGGTTACAAATTACAATTTACATTGGGTACCCTTTCTCTATATACCTTATAGAAAAAAAAGTACACAATTAAGCATTTAACAGTTAAAATACAAATTCAAACGACGAATTAATAGTTAGTAATAAACGAATAAATAATACGTAATCTACCTATTACAATACATCAGTACATTACAATACGTAATTTGTTTATAGTTCTACGCCTTGAAACGGTAGTAAAATTGTTGAAAAATACAAATGATAGAATATAATGGGTACGGTATTGGTAAAATAATTGAACTGGTGTGCACTCAAATCTAATTTTAACAGTAATCCAATGCGTGTGTAGTGTGTCCAATGTACGTATAATTCAATACACCTTTTGTGTTTCCAATTTAAATCGATAGCATTGGGAGAATACAGTATAATGAACCTATGTTTTATTGTTACATAAAAGCTAGGTAATAGTAGTTATACTAATTTACTAGTTAATAGAGGGACATGCTGAAATTTTAATTTTTACGTTTTTCATAGTCCACGCGTGCGTCCGCATTCTCGCCAAATTATACACACTAAATTAATTTTATGTTGTTCTCCTTATTATATACTATTATTTGCATAGAACTGCGTTTAACATAAACGAATTGCAGTCTAATCTAAATTGAATGTTGTCAAAATAATAGTGTTTAAATTTTAGCCTATAGTAGTATAGATTCTAAAAAAAAAAAAAAAAAGGTTATATCGGAGACTGATGAAGCCGACGTTACAGGTGGATAATTGGCAAGGTGGGATACATAGAGTTATTTAATTTATATCTGTAACCAACGACAGACCATTGCCAATAAAAAACGATTCGGAGCGAAGTTCAGTTATATCTACATGTTTTGAATGACCGTAATTACGATTTTCAACAAAATTTGATTTTAAAACTCTTATAAAAAAAAAAAAATAAAAAAAATACTACGTTACACTCAACTACATTTTCCGACCACTAAGTACGACTTACTTTTGTTAGATTAATAATTTTATTTACAGAGGTACTCCAAATTAAAATTACATAAAAAATCTCAAAATTAAAATATCTATTTATAGCTCATAAATGGCTCAAATATTTTGAAAATTTGACCACGCCTGGAAAAAGGAATATATAATAAAGATAAATAATATAATAAAGGAATAAAAGCAAATATAGTTTTGCTTTTAAAATTTTAAGTCTACGAATATTTCAACTGGATGGCATTGAACAAATTTAATTTAAAATAATAAAATAATAATTTTCGTAAATTTTCCGGTACTTTTTACGTATTTTTTAGTTTTGCTCAATTATTTAAAATTTTTAATCCTGTAAATATTATAACTTACCATTATAACATTATTCTGTTTCAGGTATACCGTACGCGTTCAATTTGGCCGGCGTCGGATTAGGAATAATATTATTGGCATTGGTCGCGATAGTCACCGATTACTCGTTGGTGATCATGTTGAAGAGCGCGCACATATGCGGTAGTTTTTCGTATCAATCGTTAATGAAATCCGCTTTTGGTCGATATGGGTTCGTCGTGTTATCGTTCCTACAATTTACTTATCCTTTTATCGGTAAGTCTATGAACGAATATTATAATAATATAAAAGGGCATTTACGTCAAAGTACAATAAACGCAACTATGTATATATTATGGTGCCAATACGTTATTATTGTTGTACATTCATAAATTAATTACAAAATGATCTTTATTTGATACACGAAAAAAACAACCAACCAATTTTATGAAATTCCTAAATAATACATTTGTAGAATATAATAATATGAAAAACAATTTTGAGCGAACTTTGGTTGAACACGTATTGATAAACTTCAATCGAAAATCGTTTTGTTTGCAACTATAAAATAAATCACAATTCTCTGTGTTTTTCATCTCAAATTTTAGTGTTTTCATCAAACCAAAATAGTTTTATCCACATACATCAGAAAATATCTATTTATTCACTATTTATTTAAATCTTAGACGCTTATTAAAATAAACATCAACTATAGATTTTCTGTTTTAGATTGGGAGCGTAGGGGGGGGGATCTATTGGTTTAACTATGATGTGTACTTTTTTTATTTTTTTACAGTGTGTAAACAACATTTCGAGAAGAAATCTTTCTCCGATCTATAAAAAAGGAAATTTCCTTTATTTATTACATTAATGAGGTAATTTTTTGATTTTCCTAGGGGGTTTTCAAAATAATTTAGAAAAACCAAAAAGAAAATTATAAATTAAACGGCAAATATTTACAGCGCCCCGCGATGTTACTATTTCATTGTTTTCAATTTTTGTTCACGATGATCTCTACCAGAAATGTTGCTCCAATCGAAAAATGACAAGAGACCTATTCTGATTAATTTTTTATCCAGTTTGTGAGTAATAATAACTCAGCTCTTTAAAATAATAATTCACCTCTTTTTTTTTATAGTGCTATGAGAATTATTTCTGATGAATCTATATCAAATTTTCGAGCATTTTTAAGTTGTAAAACAAATTTTAAAATCTTCACAAGTCCAAGTAAAAACTTGGAAAATTAAAAAGTTTTAAATTTCTAAAATATCCTTAGAGTTGTCAGAACTATGTAAATAGTATTAGGTACTACGTACAATTTTTCGCTATTTTAAGATGACATGTATTGGATTGTCATTTTTTAATTTTCCGTAATGTACTGATTTCACGGAGAACAATGGGGAAAACTAACGACAAAGCATATATAGATATACTGCATCAACGTTTTTAATTAAATTAATCGGGATTCCTTATCTATTTTGTCATTTCCGGATAATAAAATATTTTTATTCGGCCTGGCAAGTTTTTAATAACATCCACCAATTTATTGATGTTCGGTACCGTATAATGACAGATCTAGAGGAGAATAGAAAATGTCCTCGTTTTAAAAACGACTGCATTTATGTTAATATTTTTAGAAAACGTTAGACATATATATTATATTATTTACATCAATTGTTGTTTAACATTTGTACAAACATTAAATTGCAATAATACCCATGCATGTTTTTTTTGATTATACGAATAAAATATGACACATACTATGCATATAATATTATATAGGTTCAAATAAAAATATAAAAATGAACTATTTATAAGCAACACAATCTAATCAAGTACTTCATAAGAGCTTTTTTGTAGTATTTTGTATATAACTCATGAGTAGGTGATTCGTTTTTAGATTTTTTTTACTAGTTTTTTAATAATTGAGAAAAACCGGAAAGTTACGAAAAATGATAACTAAAAATGTACGGAGCAGTCCTTTGTTTTAAATTTGTACGGTTTATGTTTTCCTACAAAAATATTGCTCCAAAATAAGAGATTTTTTTTGGTGAATGTTTAATTTGGTTGAGGACTATGAAAGTTATTTTTGGTTATTTTTTTTAATCATTTCGTAAAACCGAAAAATACTTAGAATGTACAGGAAAATGTATGAAAACAATTCTTTTATTATTTTGAATTTTGTTTTTTCAATGTAATTTAGTTTAAAATATTCGTAGACTTGACATTTTTATAGACAATTTATATTTGCTTTTTTAGATGAGGTAAAATGTTCAAAACATTTGAGCTATTTTTATGGGATAGGTACCTCCTTGTGAGTATAATTGTTTGACTAATCAGAAATACTTGAAAATTTGATAAAAGTTTCAATACTAGTCGTAACTAGTGGTTAAAAAAAAAAAAATTGAGGAATGAAATATTTTTTTTTTGTATAAGTTTTAAAATCAAATTTTGACGAAAATCATAAATATTACAATTTTTCAAAATATGTGTAACCAAAGTTCGTTTCGTATCGTTTTTCGTTAGCTATGGTTTATCATTAGTTACAGGTATAAATTGAATAACTTTCTACACCCTATCATCCCAACTACCCACCTATAATAGTGGCTGTACTCGTCCCCGGTATCGGTTATATTTTACTCTTACTCTACTTACATAAATACCTTCCTTAAATGACAAATTGATACTTAAATTTCAATCCCCCTCATTAATTATAGATTTAAATAGAGAATATTACCGGTTATGGGGTATGGTGGAGAATAGTTTAACCACTTCTTTACTATTATGTTTTTTTTTTGTTTTTTTCTTATAATGTTTATAACTACTGACTACCTCGAGAAAATATTTTATCTTTTTATTAACACCACTACTCATACTAAATACTACTAAATCCTACTATTTTACTGCTATAAGTATTTTACAAAAAGTCAAAACATTTTTTATGAATAATTTCCTGTGCATTTAAGAGGTGAATATTCAGTATTAAACTGTGCTTCGAAGAATTAAAATCATGATTTTAGATATAAAATGATAGATATATTCGTTTTATTGGTCTTCTTCTGGTCTTCCACTAATTTCCAAAAGTTTTTGTCGCAATCACTAAATCACAATATTTTTCTTCGGCTGCATTTTTATAGGTTCCAGTTTTACGCTACAGTGGCTTTGTCTTCCAGATATTTTTCTACTGCAGTGATCCACAAGGTGGGGTTCCTTCAAGTTTCCACTCCAATTATATTAGCCTAATTGCTTGGAGCCTCACTTCGTCCTATTATACAATCCAATCAAAATCGTGGTTATAAAAGTTTAAAATTTAGATTAGAGGAGCAGGCAAGGTCAATAAACTTCGCTTATCCATTTTTAGACGATAGTAAATAAATTACTACTTTTCCAGTCTAAATATATAATATTTGTATGGCAACAACATTTACACAGTAACATTAAATGTTGTAAATAAAATTATAGCTGAGACTAATAATATTACATTGCTGTATATTATACAGTGATATTTAAATCATATTTCTTTCTCCAGGGACTATATCCAATTAATGGCTTCCTTTGTTACTTTATTGATACCATTAATGGCCAGCGCAAACCTTCTCCTCGGACATTCGTCTGTAATTATGCTTCATGGTCTGATTATCGTTCGCATAATCATATTCCGGGCTGTCTTTTAATTTCTCCTTTTACGTAAGAACATTTTCCTTCAAAGTATTTGATAATTTCGTTTGGAACAGAACGTACATAAAGAGAATTATGAGAATTAAATTTTTCATGGATAATGTGAAGTACAATTACAATCTTTAAAGATCGAGTTGTGTGGTGTTTTCCTGAATTTTGAGTCGTTTATCCGATCGTAGCAGTTGTTCGGCCGCCGACGCCTCAATAGTTTCGACGGTGAACGTGTTTATTGATCGACCACTTCTTACCTCATCTTTAAGACTTTCTTGACCTGAATTAAATTATGTATACCAAACCGATATACTTTTTCGAGACATTACGTAAAGTATATAAACTCTATTATTTTTCAATTAATTTTAGTCGGAGAAACATTTTGAAAACTAAAAAAGTGAATAACAGCGCGGGCTTCTTTCTTTGTACTAACTAAATATTGGTTTTCCAAGTTTTTTATTATGTAGCTGATGAAATACTCAAGTAAAATACTTATAGAATACGTAGTTTATACCTAATTTATCAATGTTGAAAATTTCCTGCTGATATAGTATACAATTTTTACCTTATTTATCGGATATCCTACATATTATTTCCACTTCTTCCATGCCTGGTTCTAATTATGTTAAGGATTGTTCATTCCTTACGTAGGAGTTTAACTCTTTTAACTCTTTGTGTGGGATTCTTAATCAGCTCCTTACATAATACCGTTGTACATGACCACTTCTCTTACCATTCTTTCGCATTACATAATTGTAACTGCGATAGTTCTCTGGTCTTGATTCATGGCGGATTATTTGACTTTAATCTTACCACTGGTGCATTTTCCAGCTGCTTATTGAGGGTTAAGTTCTGGTAGGTATCATACTTAATAAATAATGGTAAAAAAGACTGACATATTTCGCACATGGGCCACTGTTGTAGGTGAGAAGTTGGGAAGGTAATAAAGGGGAAATTTAATGTCCATTTGGAAGCAACCATTGCTAACGAAAGAACGATTCTGAATGGAGTTCTATTAACAGTGTTGCTTTGTCAACAATACATATGTCATATTATGATAAAATGATTACATACCTATGCATGAAACATTTTCTTTAATAATATTTGTTTAATATTGTACCTTATTTCCCGTTTTTCCTACATTTTTCCCGGATTTTCCATGTTTTCCCTCGGTTTTCCCCTTTATTAGAAAAACTCTTAGGAAAATCAAAAAATGACCTCTTTAAAGTTTCTTTCCAGCCAGATTTTATTTTATAAAAGGTGCTATCATTGTAAACCGGAGTGAAATAGAAAAGTTGTTCACAGAAAAAAATAAAATAAATAAACATCATTATAAAACCAATACATTACTTGCTCAACTTAGAATATAAAATGTTTAAATGCTCAACTGTAATGACTTAACCTGATAAACCATATATCTACTTTATGCATATAAAGTGTTTAGAAAGTTATTCTATATTACAATATCTGATTAAATGGGGGGGGGGATTATTTAAAAACCAAAAGTATATATTATATACTCATTTAAGACTATAAGGATTAGGGATGACATTTTTAAATTGTGGATAAAATAGAGCTAAACTGATAATGATTGAAGCAGAAATCCCTAGGGAAAATCGCTGTTTCGTATTAACGAATCACTTTGTATACCTACACTAATCGTAGGGTGTAACATAAATATTAAAATATCATACAACATATACGATTAATAATTTTTTTTTGCAGCGATGGTAAGCTACAACATAATCGTAGGGGACACGGCCACAAAGGTCTTGATCCGACTATTCGCTTTACCACACGACTCAATATTCGCCCAACGGTATTTTGTCATAGCGATGGCCACGATTTTCATCACCGCCCCTTTGTGCATGTTGAGGAACGTAGCGAGACTAGCCAAAGCGTCCGTTCTATCTTTCATCATGGTACTGGTCATCTTCGTTACTATAGTCATTAGATACGAATCTCTAAGTGACGTCATGTAAGCCGTCTCACTAAAAATTGTATCAGTAGGTACACTTACCGAACGTCTATACACGATTATTAAAACATCGAAAAATCCCCGTCCCGCATTTTTATTTTCGCAGGTCCTCGGTATACAAAGCGGACAACAAAAGCACCTGGGATTTCGCTCGACCGGACGCAGTTCAAGCAATGGGCATAATGTCTTTTGGTAAGACTTATTATTTTGTCTGCATTAGGCACTGAATTATTATACATTAGCTTATACTATTAATTATCATAAAGTAACTAAAAATAACTTTAACATTTTGTTTATAACTTAATTTCATATAGAAATGTGCGTAGCCCGTTAGAAAAAGAAGAATGAAAAACCGTTTCGATAGTTATTACTCACTGATTACCCAGCAATCAGTTTTTCTGATCTCATTTTCTGGAAATGTTCGTATATTAAATGAATTAGATCAAAATCCAGTAACTTGTCATTATTAAAATGTATAACCTTTATTGATGGTCTTTGTAGTCGTAGATATAGATAGTCGCACCTATTGTATACATTTAAGTTATTATCGTAATAAAATAACAATCAATAATTTTAAAACAAAAAATTTGATTGTGCTCATGAGTAGGCCACTGTAGTACGTGTATAATCGTAAAGGTGTAATAAATCATTGCAAATGAAAAAATGATTCTGAACAGAGTAGTGTATTTTCTTTTCTTACCAAGATAACCCAGAAATCGATAAAAATCAAACAAAAAAAAAGGATCTATGGGGTGAACTGCTGAACATTTCGATAAATATTTCAAATAAAGTATCATCAGGCAAAATTCCGAATCTTTTAAGCCACCTACTTATAATATAAAAAAATATAAGACCTTTTATACTAACCGCAAAACACAAAAATCTTTGTAAAACTAATAGCTTTTTCATTATACCCAGAATCTAAAATACAATTGTTAAAATAATAATACATTTTTTGGAAATTGTAATTATTAATTTTTAATTTAAAAATATAGTTTTAAGTAAATTATTTTGTTTATTCATTATGTAGGTTTTATGTGCCAACACAACGTGTTCTTACTGTACGATTCCATAGAAGGAGTTAGTCAAACCGTTTGGAACAATGTAACGCATTTTGCAGTCACTGTATCTTTCTTGTTAATGGTTGGATTTGGATTGGTTGGATACGCTACATTCGGTAATCTCACACAAGGTACATTTATTTTATAGTTAAAAATCAATTTTTATAGGCAGGTTGCCTTTTTGTCTATTCATATTTTAAACATTTTTAGGTGATTTGTTGGAAAATTATTGTTGGAACGACGATTTAATCAATATTTCGAGGCTATTGTTTTCATTAATAACGTTACTTACTTTCCCGTTAGAATGCATGGTAACTAAAGCTGTTGTTGATCAGACTCTTAAGGGTGACACCAATGACGCACTCGTTCCGATGTCGAAAAAAAAACACGCCATTGTTACCATTTCAATTCTCGTAATAACTTATTTGGTTTCAATATCCACTAAATGTCTTGGAATAGCCTTAGAACTGAATGTGAGTATATTGGATACAATTTTAATATTTTATAATACAAAATTAATATGTATCAGGTTTGTTCGATTGTTTAAAAGAACATATAATTATATTTTGATACAATTATACTGAACGTTATTCGAGCTTTTCCTACAGTAAAGTATGTTTTGATCAAAACATGTGTTGCCTTTAATACAAAAATTTAAACTGATTGAATATTATGAATTTTTGTTGATAAAAATTAACAAAAAGATACGAGTAGGACCCATTTAATGAACGATATATATACAGTAGACTCCGTTTTATTGGGACACAACAGTTGCTTGTTATTTTGTTACGATAAAGCGGTTGTCCCAATAATCCGAAATAAAAAAAAAATATATAAAAATTTGATGGTGGTTAGTTACTGATTTATTAATAGAGTAGTACAATTTTTTCGCAATTTACACTTAGAAAATAATTTTTATTTTTATTGAAAGAGACAATGAACGCAATCACGTACAATTGAATTTATTATTATCATTATTATTATTAAATTGCATACATGTTTACTTCTAACTTACCATATAATTTTAACGTCCCGTGATTTTTTTGAGCCATTTTAACAAATTAATAACAAAAGCGCAGTGTGAAACAATCACTACATATTATTTAGTATGACATACAACTTAAAAATGCAATTGACGTACCTAATCAATCATAAATCATTTAAACGACGTAAGTATACGAGCGATATGCTATCGTAATTATTTAAATTATTATTATTGTATGGGTATACAGAAAAAAAAGTCTAAATATAGCGATGCGATAATTCTCAAGCTCGTTCGGATTATCCTGTCTTTTGGATTATCCTGTGTAGTTGCGGCTCCAAGGGGTCTTTAGGGGCCACGCCCATATTATACCGGGTGATCCATTTAAGTGGATATACTCATTATCTCGAAAAGTATTAACTATTTTCGGAATTTGTTTACTAGAAAATTTAAGAAATAAGCAGATCTATAGTTTTATATTTAAGTTATTTTTTTGGGTTAAACGACCACCTACTTTAGATTTCCAAATAGCAATCTACATTAAAAATTCCATAAATGTATAGAATATTAGTTAAACTAAATTTTAGTGTTGACATTTTTGATTTTTGTCAATCCGTTGATGAGATATTACAGTTTTAGGTTTGGGTTAGAGGAGAGTAGTGGAGTACCTATCATTTGTGTGGCGGTACGGCGCGCGGTGTGTTAATAATACACCACTGCCACCCACCAACCCATACTTAAAAGTGGAATATACCGCAACGGATTGATGAAAATCAAAAATTTCAACACTTAAATTTAGTTTAAATAATACTCCAAGTTTTATGGAATTTATGGAATTTTTAATATAGGTTACCAGTTGAAAATCAAAATTAGGTGGTCGTTTTACTTTCAAAAATAAGGGCGACAAAAAATAAAATAAATATGGAATTGTAGAGCTGCTTGTTTCTTAAATATTCTAGAAAACAAATTCCGAAAAAAGTTAATACTTCCCGAGATAATGTATGTACCCACTTAAATGGAGCACTTGGTACTTTCGACTGTTATAGACACGTACAAGTGTGTAGTTAAAGGTATGTATTATCTATAGTCTATGCAATGAAGTATGAATAAAGTATAAAATATAAAATATATTTTTTGGTACACATTTTTCTGAAAAATAGCACTATTAAGCGGAGTCTAGTGTATTATATAAAATTATTCAATCGCTGTAATTTCTTATAAATATCATTGTTGTATTAATCTTGTAAAGTTATGCCTACACTTACATGTATACAATATTATTTTTGTTATAGAAAGGAATGATACCTATGTATTTACGCATTATGATAATATATATGTGTATTATCTATTGTTATAGGGAGTCATGGCTGCAATTCCGTTAGCGTTCGTTTTACCGGCAGCTATTTATATTAAAGTATCAGACGATTCTTGGAAAAAGAAGGTAATATCAAATATAGACATTGTAAAATATTTAATGTTTTCAGGTAGAGAAAGACTAGATGGTAGATAAATATTTATCTATAGCGTCTCTAGTTTCAGATAGACAGCTATTATTCTAGTAAGAGAGTAGCCAATCTTATAACGTTGGTATTCTGATTTGTTAACCTTTTATCTATATCCTTGGATCCCTTTATAGTATAAGTACTAATATTTCTTTAATAAGTCACTAAAATAATGATTACAATGTCAAGTTACTTTATTCCCTAGTTTTTACATAAACAATTTTTAATTTTGTAAAACAGCTGTGTTATAATTTATAATTATCTACTTTTTTTTAAGGAATGTTTTAATTTATCATTCTAATATTAATACTAGATGTACTTATTGGAAGAAAATGAAAAACCGAGTATAAATTGTTAGGCAACACCTAGACCAAAGCAAACAATTTTCGATTAATTTTTCTAACTATGTTGTCAATGTAGAAAAACTTTGAAACCAAAGAAACATTATCTTTAAAACATATTCGTGTTTTACAAAGTTTTAAACGAGAGAGATACATCATTGTAATTATTGCTAAAGCTCGCACAGTCATTTTAAATATTATCAACATAGTTACTAGGGGAAGGGATCAAAACAATGTTCAAATTCCTTTACGGCCTCCAATGAGAAATCTAAATGTTTGTTGCTATTATTTTGTGAAAAACACATAAGTCAGCTACTTTTGACGAAAAATTTCACAAAATGTATTGGTGATAATGTTAACATGATGCTTACACTGTTCCTTTGGTCTAGACGTGGATATAATTCGAAAGTTAACATTTCCAAATTTTAAATTATACAGTGTCATAATAATTGTAAATAGGAACAATACCTACACACGATTATAGGTTGTAGTGATATATTAATTTGTTTTTTTAAATTTTAGATTCCTGCGTACTGTTTGGCCCTGTTCGGTACATTTGTGGCGTTCCTCGGTGTATACATGGTTATTGACGAGATATTAACTTCCACTTCCACGGATTCTTGTAATAACGATAATATAATGGACCACTGTTACATTAATAACACTTCGTACCAGCAACAAATCAACAGCCAGTGACGTTATTATTAAGATTATATTAAACAACTGATGAAATAAAATTTAATAATAATTAATAAAACATCTTGTGAAAGAAAAAAAAAATGTCTAGGTAGTTGGATCATATTATACATTAAGACTACCAATATATACCTGCTATAATGTTCTAGTCTCTTGAAATTGCATTATTTTTTTTTTATATATATATATATATAATATAAATATATATTTATATACATATATGATTAGTTTAATTTAGAAAAATTTAGTTTTAATTTCATTATATTATTTAATAGTATATGCTGCATATAATATAGAATACCATTAAATTCTCATTGAAGTTATTCGTTTTTTTAGGTGATTGTTATTATGTATAAACACGTGATGTTTTGTTTCATAATATCTTTGTGTGATCATATTTACTATTATTTCAATTATAATATTATCTATAATAATTCACCATACAAATAACAAAATATTATTATTACCTCGTTTGTATAATATGTGGGGTCCAACGTACATTGCATTAACTGCAAGGCCTGGAATGTATACAATAATTAATAAAGTGATGAATTTTGTAGGCGGTCGTTGTCAGCCAGTAATATTGTTGACACTGTGTAAATTATAATTGATATATACGAGTTCAAGAATTAATTTTTAATCTGTGAAACTATAAAATACATATTGTGTAGGTACTAATCTTTGTTATGTCCTATATAAGTGTTTGATATTAGATAAAAAGTCTATGTTACGGCTTACGGATATGTGCAATAGATATAATTAATATAGAAATATTGGCGAAGGTCGAGTAAAGTATAGGTACGATTTTATGGTACTTATTAATAAATGACGAATCAAGTCATTTAAAAAATCAATCAATAAAGTATTATTTGATGTGCTTTGGATGATAAAATCTGTAAATGAGAGCAGCACCAATGTTGAAAATTGAGAGGGAAGTACAGTATTTTTATATAATTATCGAAAAAAAGCATTTTGTCATAGTATGCTATTTGTTATTGTTATGAATTTTTACATGACATTATCTTTATCTCACAATCGACAAAAATTTTAAAAAAAATATTTTTTTTAAATTTAATTATAATAAGTTATATTGTATTATTAGTTATAACAATGTCTAATCGTTTAAAAAAACTAAATGTTGTACCAAATAACAGACAATAAAGGACTATGTTAAAGTATCAGTAAATTGACATATGAATCATGCATGATAATAAGATCATCATTGTCACTATAACGGGCACGAATTGGTGTGGATGGAGTACCTTTTAATTTTTAAATACTCTTTAAAAATTTAACTAAAGCAGGAACTGATTCTGTTGAGTAACCCGCCCCCCACATCACGTCATAGAGACATTTTTTAATCTTTTATAGTTTATTCGAGTCCAGCACAATCAAAATTATACCTAATGGCTAGCACAGCCGTTTCAAATTTAGGGGGATGGGGGTGGAAGGACTAAGTGAAACCACCTATATGGTTGCAATGCCCGTTATTAAAATATTATAACGACCTAATTTAATCAATAAATCTATACTAAAATACTAAATATTATTAACATTGATATTTAATACAGTTTGAAATTGGATCATAGAAAAAGGCGCTACAAACATTATGACTTAATAACGAATTATGTTATATAGAATGTTATTAAACGTGTACACCAATACAAATATTATTATTTTATTGTTTAAACGGGGCTAATGTTCGTTTATGAACATTACTAGCCGAGCCGGATATTTATTTATATATATATAAACACCATTGAAAGTTTCATGTCTATGAATGTATTTAGTTGAAATTAGATATTTAAATTTAATAACATTATTATTTGTGTGTGTTGAATTACATAAGTTGGAATTACTGTTGTATTCAACTTAGAATTCGTTGCAGTGCAATATATATATTCTATATTGATAAATTTTACTAAAATAATAACATAATAAAATTAAAATAACTGATAATGGGAATGAGAGTGGCCACTGTTGTAGGCGAGAAGTTAGGAAGGTAGGATACTTAGGATACGTTATTTCATTTATATCTGTAAGCAACGATAAATCATTGCTAGACGAAAGACGATTCCGAGCGCAGTTCGTAATACATAATTTATAGTGCCGTAATTCATGTTGTGATTTTAAATATGATTTTAACACGTTCATTAAAAAAAAAAAAAGTCGTCCGATGATTTTAAAAATTTTACCACGTCTAAGTAAGCCCAATATAAGTATTATTACTAAGTTTCAAATTTCTACGTGTATTTATAACCGAATTCCGACAATAAAATTCCCAAAAATTAAAACTCCTTAAAAGCTCAAAAGTTTTGACGACGATACCTTTAGAAAGTAAATTAAAAAGGAAACAAAAGAAATATTTTGTGATTTTTCGATTTAATAATTTTTCTTGTAGAAAATGACGTTCATGTTTTTATAAAATAATGAAATCGTGAAATTGTACGTTTTCCTACGTTTTGTCCTACTTAAATACATTTATTTAAAAATAAAACCAATAGCTCGCTCACTACGCTCGGAATCTAAAATAAATATCATAGTAAAACCAATAGATCTAAAACTAAATAAACATCTATATAACATATTTTTAAAAAAAAAACGTGGTTTTTTCGTGGCTCAGCGAATATAATGTATTGATTATAACGTTAAATATTATATTTTATCCTCGTAATTTTTGGTACCGATGACACATACCTGAGTATTCGTTCTTCTGTTCTTTGTTTTCCTATAAAATAAATTGTTAGATATCATATGAAAACGATATTAAAATTTAAATCGATATACGAAGTACGATTATAGGTAATAGCTTAATTATTAGTCGATGGAAATTAAATATCTTCTGTTTTTTTTTCAAAAAAAATATTTATTTATATATTTATTTTACGAGTATTAACTATTTAATAATTTTGTTTTTACTTTATTATTTTATTATAAAATATTTCTATCTGAATTAAATGTAAGACTGTGGCTATTACCTATGTTGTAATTGGCTGATTATCTAACTAACACATTCATCTCGAAAAATCTCATGTACATATTCATACTACCGCAGTGATTTCATGAATTTTATAAAATTATTCTTTATATACTTTATATGTTTTGAATGTTTACCTGTACCATTGATTGCGCTGACCAATTGCCGCAGAAGATTTTCAAATGGACACTCGATCAATAAGTATAAAAACAACGCAAAGAGAAATCCATTCCACCAATCGCCATACGTAATCCATGGCTATTATATGTCAATTGAAGAAGGAAAAATGATTAAATCATCATATGTATAGAAGCATTGAATAGTGCAATGGAACATTGTATCATAATATTTAGTACTATCTAATTGAGATTTCTCTACTAATTCACTTTAAATGTCGTGCCTTATCGCTACAAATCTGGATCTCCGCTTTTCTCTTTTCATAATCAATCTATCCATATCACGTAAATCTCCCTACCCCAATTTTAAATTTCGACACTTTTCTTAGTCCAATTATTGTATACCCGTTAGTTTTCTATAGTAGAACAGAAATCATCGTTAGTAGATATTTGTTAAACTAGTAAACTTGCTCCGATTTTCACTTTAGCAACTTTTCTGAAAGCTCAATTTGTCTAGATGGTTTTTTAAACAATTTATTTTTTGATTTTTTAATCATTTTTTTTAAAAAAAAAAAGTAATTACCTAATAGATTCTACCGGCTTAAGCCAGACGAACACTGACAAATACAATAATGCTTGAGAGGATTGCTTTTGAAATATCACAACTTAATAATGTTTATATTTCGTTTAGAAATTAAAATATCGGAAAAAAAGACCCAACGTGTAAGCACAGACAGTGTCTTACCGTTAATTTTATAACAGGTCAATTTACTCTAATATTAAAACTATCAGCACAATGTTGTTCAACGAATTTATTGTCACGGGGTTGTAAGACGAAGACAACAAATGTATGGATAGTATCTTCTTAAGGTGAACCGTTCTATTTTTCACCTTGATGGCTTGGTATCAAATGACATAAGAATATGTCTTAAATCGTATGGAGAGTACTAAACGTATGCTAGGTATAACTATGTATAAATTGTTGATATAACGTTTTAAATCTATTAGGGACAACCGGAATAAATTATTTTTTGAATCTTAGTAGAGCGAAGCTACCATATTTGTTAATTGTTTTGCAAAGATTTGTTTCTTTATCAAAAGAAACTACTTTAATAGTTATTCAATGTTTGAACCAGTGGTGGCTAAACATTTTTCCCGTGAATCATAGAAAAAATGAAAACCAATGAGTAGGAGCTATGCTAGAACTCATTAGAGTAGAATTTTCTCCCAGCCAGTTGGTTGTTTTTTTCCCCACTAATAAAATTGAATAACCGCCAACATAATTATATAAAAATATAACAAACATGATTATGATTAGATTATGATAAGTTTGGTATTTAGTTAAAATAAATATCTCAGATACTCAGTTAAATCTGTTCTACTATCCAATATTAATGACCAGATACTGACGATTGGGCTAAGAAAAATGTCAAATTTTAAAATTAGGTTCGCCAAGGAATGTAAATATCCATATAGAGTTATATAGACATTTCGGATGCAATCAGCCTATCTCATAATTTTATCAATTCATGCTTTTCTGGGTCATCTTCCTTTATGACCGTCCTTTTACAGAATTGTGCCTCAAAATGTGACGGAACATTACGCGTGTCTTTCCTTTATAGTACTAAGTAGAACCTATTTCCTCCTACTTGGTTAAATAGTTCTAATTTTTGTCTAGCTGACCTTCATCATTCTTCTCCAAATCCACATTTCCATCGCTTTTTTAAAATTTTTTTTTATCCTATTCAGTAATGGCGCATGTTTAACAATCATATAACAGTACACTTCACACATAGCATTTGGTAATGTTTTCCATAATCTTTATATTCAATTTTTTATTTGTAAGGAATCGTCTTTTTGTATCAATGATTGGAATTATTGTAACGTATAATAAAATTATATAAGCAATTATAACAAGCTATTTGCTAGTATTACAAACTACGTATAATAATATAATAGTTATAATAATAAATTAATTTATGAGTTACACGATTTGCAAAATCATAACACTTACGATCTGTAACTCGTTGAAATATGTTGGAGTACGCGCAGTCGACACATGATATAATTGAATTGTCAGTCCTGCTAGGTATGCACTGTACGTAAGTCTACTCAGAGGAGCAAGTGCATGTGTCCAAACTCCTAATTTAGAATAAGAAATAAATGATGTAGCTTTTTGTCTACGATTGAATAACAATAACGATTGAACGTTATAAATGTGTAACAAATTAGGACCCTGAATTTGCAGATGACCTAAAACTATATGATTTTATAGTGCACTAAACGGTATGGCATAAACTGATAAACATGACATTACAGTAGTATTTGGGTCTCAGTTTTTCAAACGGACAGTGTATCAGAAATGACGTGTTCAGATAAACAAATGAAAAAGCCTTTAACTCTTGTTAACGAGCGTGGTATCCGACTAGTATTTTGCTGTAAATAATACCGATTCAAAACAATAATTCAATATTCTTCTAAAATTTGAAAATAATTATTTTTAGACATCAAATGACTTTAGAATATAAACAAAGTATAATAATATAAAAAATAAATTCTGTTTAAACTTAATAAATATAAACCTAATTAATTATTGTTTTAAATTATAATATACAGCTTTTTTTATATTTATATGCTTAAACATTTGTTTAAAAATAATGAAAATTAAAATAAATTTAAAAAATCATTTAAATAAAATACAAATTATACTCTGAAATTTTAAAAACTGATAAGAGCAGCTATCCTCAGATCGTTCTTTTTCAGTATTACCTATTGAAACGGTATCAATATTGTTATCATTACTATCGCCAGAACTTGAATAACCTCCCCATCCCAAAGTTATTTATCATCAGCTTCTTCTAAATAATTTAATGATTTTGGTCTCTCAAGGTCTCAAAGTTGAATCAAAATATTGAAAGAGAATCACGAAAATAAGTTAATAAACAAACACAATATAAAACTGAAAAAAAAATGGAACTATATTAACGGCATGGGCTAAAAATGTCCCGAACCCAGAGTTTGTCGATATCGAACAACCGTAACGAAAGTACTGACTATAAATAGACTCGATTATCGGGTCTATTGATAACCTATTTTTAAGAAGCTAGTAAAATATTTGAACCTTTTGATTCAATGATATCGACACTTAAATAGCTGTTGGGGTAGGTATAGTTTCACCACACGCGCGTTACCAAGGGTTAAAATCAGATATAGAAATAAAACACTTTTCGCGTTTGCCCACACTGCCACCAGCGATTTGATCTATTTATCATTATTAAAATATACTTTCTTTTGTACTTTCGAAGTATGAATTAAATTTAGAGGATTGTAGAACGCCAACGAATTTTTCTTCAAAGTTTTATCGTCCAAAAACTTCATAACAGGTTTTTTTTTTTATCATTAAAACACAACCTACGACTATAATTACCTATAAAATGCACGTTTACGGAGCTAATAATAATGGCCGCCGAAACGAAGAAGGCGAAAACCAACCGAAACACGAACGCGTAGACAATGCTGGACCACAGGTTGTATTCGTTTACGAGAAAATAAAATATCGACATCATCCACAACATAGCGCCGGCAGTCAGGCCGAACAGGTACGTCGTCGGATGCGAAAACCGATAGTCGGGACGGTCGACTTTGATTTTTTGATAAACATACGCTGCAAACATACCCACGAAATATGGCGTCGCTCTAGTGTGTGTGGGCACGTACAACAACGTGTATGTCTTATCATTAGACGGTGACTTCAGAGCCCTGCCAATGAAAATAATGTTAAAAAACACGAGATATTATAAACATTTTTAGAATACGAGTCGAGCGACGAATGTATTGGTCGTCGGTATAAATCTGTGCGTTTTTAGATTCTAAGTTAATTGAGGAATATGACGTATTGGTTTTACTAGAAGCTACAATTTTTCTGCCAGAAATCATGCTTCGATCATCAACTTCAGGTGAACGTGTTGTCTAGTTGATATGACGGAAAGGTTTTTTTTTGTTTTCCCTTGTAGTTTTCTTAATAATTGTGAAAATCCGAGAAAAATACACACAATAATACGGTTTTTTGTTAGGTACTGTTAAATTTTGAATTTTTTGTTGTAATTCAATTAAAAATAATCGTAGGGATCTGTAATTTCCCTCCTTTGAAAATTGTATACATTATAATTACTCAATTATTTATTCAAATACTTAACTATAGTTTGTCCATATAAAATACGTATTTTTTTTTTTTTTTTTTTTTTAATATACCTAATATTATATTACATTATACCACACTTACGATATGAAACCAAGAAACGTAGGTTGCAATTTATGATAATACACGACGTATGATGAAATGAAACAGGATACGGTGATGGCAGCCAGCAGGATATGTATTCCAAATTTCGGGTATTTCCAAATCAAGTACACAATTAGTATGCCTACAGCGCACAAATGCAAGTCACACGCCAAATACCAAGATTGAATCATGCACTACAATCACGTGGGGTAATTTTAATTTTTGTTATATCTATTTCAGTTACAAAATATTTATAAATATTTAGATTTTTTACACTCACTGGTCGTTCCACATGAACGTAATTGTTGATAAACAATACGTTAGTCCACCAATAATTTATACAGTTTTCCGATTCTTTGACGGCCATGTTTTTCCACAGAGGGCCATCCGAGAGGTGCAAAAACACAAACGCGTGGAACGCTATCAGCACACCGTATATAGGCATCAGCCTGGAAAAATGTCAATAATAATTTTCAACAAGTAGGTATTTGAACGAATGATTGAAAATGGTTTTATTATAAATTATACGGGACTATCGAAAGTGTGCGTATAGTGTAACAAGGTATACAGAGTGATCAAAACTAACAATGAATGTTTTTGCTGTAATTCGGTTATAATTTCACCTAGAGACTTGAAACTTGATAATAATATTTATATTGGACTTACTTATACATGGTTAAAGTTTCCAAAATCATCGGGCGACTTTTTTTTTAATGAGCGTATTAAAATCATATTTAAACGAAAATCACAATATGAATTACAGCACTTCAAATTATGTATTACTGAACTGCGCTCGGAATCGTCTTTCGTCAAGCAATGGTTTATCGTTGCTTACAAATATAAATGAAATAACGTTATGTATCCTACCTTCCCAACTTTTCACCTATAACAGTGGCCGTTCCTATCCCCAGTATCAGCTCTTTTTTTTCTCTGTAATTAGGTTAAACGTAATAGTAAGCCTGAAATGTTCGAATCTAAAATAACTTTTTATAGAGAAGATTGAATTTTTAAATCATTCCGGTGACTCGTAAGCAACTTATTTAAAGACATTCGATATTTTCGAGTTTTTATTTTAACATTTTCTTATATACTTAACACCACATTATAATTCAACGGAAAAACAAATAATTACCAAATGATTCGTAAACGTAATGTCAATACCTACCTGTCTACAAGGTACAAAACATAATATTGGTAACAAAGTTGATAATTTTATTATATTATAAAGAATATAAATGTTACCTGCACCATCTCAAAAATAATATTAACGGCATATTAAATCGTTTAGTCTTGACTAAATGACTGTGCATACTGTGAAATGTTAAGAAACCACTGAGAACAAAAAAAATGTCTACCACCAAAGGTCCGTTGTGTATTATTCCGTATACCATGATTGAATAACTCTGTAGAATAAAAACATAATAAATGTTATAAGTTAATAACAATACAACAATTATAATCAATGATTCAAAACTACATAGTAGTTAAGTACATAAAGTATGGGATATTGTACTTACCTCTTCCAATTTATTTATATTATAAAGTGGATGGGCACCAATGTACATAATTCGGTGTCCGAATAAAACGATTAAACAAGAAAATATTTTTAAGATATTAATACCACAGAATTCGGCAGTTTTCTCATTATTGGACATCAACTTTTTCATGTTCGATGGAATCGAAAATGCTACTAAGATTGATTCTAAAACAAATATATATGTAGGTATTTCTTTATTTTTATATGTCCTTAAAGTAAATACAAATTCAATATATAAAATATGGCTGGTTTATATAATTAAAGTGGAAACATTGTGATAATCATAATCCTATGTCCAATATAATATTAATGCCCCCCCCCAGGTTTTTCAGCCATCGTAAATCGAATATCGCTTTATCTGATATCGCATGCCACTCTTAAGTATGCAGCTGAACTTTCTCTCTTAGCATTCGCTAACAATATAACGTATTACATGAGAAAAATCAATCGTTTAATTATACTTAGGTACGTATCTACTCGTTATAATAAATATTCAAGAAAAAACCTTATGTAATTCGTACCATAGTAGAACACTGTAGTAGGTGATGTCGTAAGAAGTTTGAAAGATTATAGGTTGATAGGCTATAGGGTAAGTTAATTTATATACTGAAAGCAGTAATAAATCATTATAATCGAAAAACTAGTCTGATTGGTTTTCATCTTATTGTAACTCGAAAGGTAATCCAGAAATCATAAATAAAATCTATGTATCGACATTTGTTGTTAGTTCTTTTTAAATTTTAAAGAAAAACTATTGGAAATCTAGAGATTATATTTAAATAAATTTCCATCAGGCAAAAAATTCACGTCTTATAATAAGGTACGGTATGAAAAAATCGGAAAATTTTCTCTAAATTTGTGGTTTTTTTCTAAGGAAAAAAATGTTAGTAAAATTAATAGCTTTATCGTTACACTCAAAATCTATAAAAACCATACGTTTATTTTATACTAAACTATTACTTAGTATTATTATTTTCTGACGATTACTTTTTTACTGAAAATGGCCATAATTAAATCTAAATCTGATTCTCACGTATTTGCGGAGTTATTTTAAATATATAATTCATGATTTTAAAATTATTATTTGTTACTGTGCTGTCTGTACCTATTTAATATAATATAAATCTATATAATATTTAAACTTACTTTTTTTAAATTCGTCATCTCTCTTTGAATAAACATCATACAATGTTCCTATGGTTACTAACATACACATGACAAATAGAAAACACCTAGGAAAATAATTAAACGCAGAACAAAAGTGTGTATTAACTGTAAGTTAAAACTGTGAATATTTACCAAAAAATTATAAATCCTAAAGTTATAGGTGGTTTTTCATGTTGTGTAGTGCAGTAAAACGAATCCATCCTGACAGTGGCGTTTAAGTTGTGTTCTATAAATGCGGACTCAATTTTCGGAGCTAATGTGGATTGCAAATCGGAATCGGTGCACGAAGATGGAATACATACCGCTGTACTAACCTCATTCCGTTGGACCTTTGCCGGATTAGGATCCAGCTGCATAAAGATTAATATATGGTTTAACTTATAATTAAACTCAGAATGCATTTCATCGAATGTCCACAGTGTCGATACACTAACAAAAACGGATAGCAATCGCATTAAGAGGCATTCAAATTTACTATCTCAGCCTAACTACTTACATAGTAAAATACCGTTACGTTGAACATAAATTATGGAATTTTAACGTTTTTGTTGAAATTAGAGTTTAAGCATTAGCAGATATGAGAATGTTTAGGCGGATGAGAGAACATAGGATAAGGAATGAGTAAGAAGTTGCTTAGGCGTTTAGTTGCGGCTTCAATAATAGACAAAATGAGAGAAAATAGACTGAGATGGTTTAAATATGTTATAAGGTAAATGTAATCAGAAGCAGTATACATTGTAATAAAAAATATGTTTAAGGAAAGATAGGGAGAGGATGACTGAAAAAGAGGTGATTGAATGTGATTGAGAATGAAATAAAGACGGCGGATGTATGTGAGGGAGATTAGGATCAAGTGAAGGAGGGTGACCGACCCAAATAGTTGGGATGAAGGCGAAATGGAAGAAGAAGTTTAAATTAAAGTTCAAACACTCACATACAAAAAAAAAACAAATTTAAAGATTATAATATTTTCGAAGACGTTACGTTGCTTAAAACTCTAATTTAAACATAAATGCCACTGTTTAGTGTATAATATTTCTATTACCTGTAGAATATATTGTTATTAGGGTGAAATTACGGTGTAGGTACACAACAATATACATAGATACCTTGATCGCTTCCCATACAGGAACTGATGAAGTTAAATTGGGTGACGCGATTTTATAATAGTTTGGGTACAGTTTATCAGACGGTGAAAAATTTATTTTTACAATACAGTATTGAGATTTAAAGTCTAAGCCAGTCATATCGGTTTCCAGACATTCGTCGTAATCTCCGAAATCAATTGATTTCCCGGATAGTATGCCAGTTGGAAATTTGGCTGATGCATCGTACACTATAAACAGTATAAACAAAATATAATACATTAATTTAATGATAATAAATATTACAATTGTTTTAAATTTGAAAAAGAAATACATCATTTTACTTTGTTAATCGATCAAAATTACTGATACGATTATTTTAGTAACAAAAAAAAAAAATGTATTTGCAGTGACTACAAAATTCGGAACTTCCTAATTTATGATTAATTTAACTGTCATTGGTTAGACTATTTCTATTTTTGTATGTTTAAGGAAATATTATACTGGACGTTTTAGGCCAAAATTTCTATGGAAAACATCTGTTTATTAAGACAATTTCACAAATAATACTTAAGAATAATATTTACCATGTGAATAATTTGGACCATTTTTACTCTTATGAAAAGTATTTTACATAAAAAAAAAAACGTATAACTTCTTCGCTCATAACTAAGTATGCTAACCTACTTCTACAGTCCACGCCCTACTAACTTAGTAATTTTGCCTCGTAGATAAAACAGGATTTACTAATTAGTTGTAGATAAAAAGATAAAATAATAAACGATAGAATAAGAGGGTGTAGTATTGTGAAAACAAATTCATCACTGCTATCGATGGCTCATAAAAAAAAAGAAAAAGGTGCCTACTTCTAGTTTTTAAGAAATATTGCTATTTATTGAATTAAACAATACTGATTATTACGTAGGGTTCATAAATAAAAAATAAACTCAAATTTGAGAAGTCGAGGATACTGCAATGGGAAAACGTAACGAAAACTGCAGTCGATCTATATTTAATAGGTATAATATTTTTATTTGGCGTAACAGAACTATTTAGCAAAAGTTATTACTTTTTTTTTTACTATAACTTTTTTTCTATTGAGTAAAATTAAGTTTTTTTTTTTTACAACTATTCTGACATCTTGACGCTATAATTGAAATATTTTTTTGCTAAATTTGAATATTTCAGAATTCGAAATAAAAAAAGTAAAATTGTATTTAAAATTTCGATTTTTGTAAATTCGATGTTTAGCAAAATATGGATACCAAAAACTTATACTATGATTGAGTCAATTATTTTTAAATAATTTTAAAAATTTGGGAAATATGACATTTTTCGCGTGCTTAAATTTTTACCCTGTATTCTATATTACTACCAAACGAGTTTATTTCCCTTGTCAGTTTTGATTCCTCCGTGGCCTTTATCATGGCTATTTGGGAACGGTCACTTCTGCCCTAAACTTTCACTTGACCCTATCTCCTTCCTTGTATGCCTGCACGTAAGCTGTTCTCTTTAGTGCCGATCTTATAAAATAATATATCTAGATTCACTTTGAGTCGCCCATAACTTGAGCTCTTTTAATCCTTCCTTGTACGCTTGTCCATCACGCGTGCACTTCGGTCCGCCTACGGGAACATAACTTTCCAGGGTTCCGTAAAGTATTTTCGTGATCCACTGCGGTTGTCGGAACTCGTGGGTCTCACCGGATGTCACCGTTGTCGTCACAAAAGTTAGAAAATATATCACTGGGATTACAGCGACCATGCTAGAAAAAACAAATAATAACGACAAAAAGTAGGTATATAGGGTGATAAGAATTTTATGTTACAGCATTTTCTGCTATAAATACGCAAAATAGAAAAATTCTGATCACCCTCTATATGAGTGACACAATCAGGATTAACTTTTTGGTGAGGAGGATGGATAATAAATTTCAGACTAATTTTGTAGACATGTTTTGGGATGGTAAATTTATTACGTATTACTAAATAATAAAGTACGTGTTATATGGAAATATTTTCAATTTCAATACAAAATATACTACTACGTGAACATAATCAATGCTATTACATAAAAATCGTATAAAATCACTAAATTTCGTGCGAAGGGATTTCCTCCACCCCGTGTACGCGATAGATTTACCTACCCGAACAAAACTAATTAATTTGATAACGCATTGTATGTTTTTTAGCATTAAAATATGTTAAGGTTTTATGATTATTTTTAACATACAACACAACTAACATAGTATATTAACTTGAGTAAACTCGCCTTTTATTATTGGTACGTGCAGTATTATGATAATGTATCTATGCAACTAATTTTTTTTTTGCCTGTGAATAACTTTTATATTGAAAATCTTGTTCAAATCGAAAAATGGCAAATGACCTTTTTCATTGCATTTCAGAAAAATTTTTTTTTTTTTTCAAACGATTTCCGTTTTAATTGGGAAAAAACGTATAGGGAAACCGGACAACTATTTACGGCATAACGATTATATTATTTTAAATGTTTACGATTTTTTCAGAATTTCAAGAATAACATATTTTCTGAAAGAATATTTTGTCTAGTTTGTGAGTCATTGTTTTATTTTTCATGTATATTTATCATAATAATAATAATAGAAATAATAAATAAGTAATAAATAAATAAATAATTATAGTAGGAAATACGAAAAGTTCACGGAAATTACTGTTTCATATTTGTATTTTGTTTTTTTATTACAATTCAGTCAACAAAAATTGTGTAGACCTGATATATTCATAGATTTCCTACACGTGATTAAATTTCAAACGATTCTAACGATTTTTTAGTTATTTATAGTAAATTTCACATTTTTAATTTTTTTTTAGTTTTCATATGTGGAAAATATTCATAAAACATGTGGATTAAATATTAATTGATAATTTAATAGGAGGTTCAATATTAGTTGTGTACTTAGTGGTGAAAAAAAAAGTTGCATGCATGTAGTAATTTTTATATTAAATTTAAAAATTATGGTATTTCAAATAATATTTAATCAAACTTCGCTCAAAATCGTATTTCGTCAGCAATGATTAATCGTTTCGTTCAGGTATAAATTAAATTACTAATCCTACCTTCCCAACTTCCCACCTAAAACAGAGACATACTCATCAGTAGTATAAGTTCTTCTTTAATATTTAGTTTGCACAGTTACTATTATACTATTCAATAATAATAAACATTCATCAGAATATTTTTTAACTGCATCTAAAATATAACGTATAAATGTGTTTGTATTCATAATGTTATGCTTATGAACGTGCATACACTCAGTATAAACATGCTAATGCATATTATAATCCCGATGTCTAGTGACTATAAACGGTTATTTAGTTCATTGCCATATTTCGGTTAAGATACACAAAACAAAAAATAAAAAAATGTAGGAAATAAAATTATTATTTAACAATACATAAGAAAACTCGATGTATTGTTGTGTATTCACAATTGCAGCTTAAAATCTATGAAATTAATAAACGTCGACAAATCGTGTGCAGTTCACACAAACCTTATGTTGAACAACATACCAATAAACCTTGAATTTGGTTTTAACCTTGTTTATTACTAATTGAATAACTACATAAGATTTTAATATTTTTTTTATGGTTATCAATTTATATTTTATTGGTAAAATTTAATTGAAAAATAACAAACAATATGATTAAATACTTAACTATACAATATAGGTACAAATAGTTAATAAATAATATTTTATTAGGACTGCATAAAGATTTAGTCAAAATACGCATACGAATATTTTCAGACAATATGATCTTATATGAATGGCTGAAAATATTGTTATAAATATTTTTGTGTTTTTTATTTTTTCTTTAGTATATTATATTGAATGTTAAATGAACGGGAAAAAAGTCGTTCACGAACGCGTTTAGAAACCATTTAATTTGAACGTATTTCTTTTAAACACTGAGTGCTAATTAAATGAAAATACATAAATACGAGTTAAAATTTAAGCATAAATAATTACTTTAAATACATTCGGTACATGGTTTTTTAGAAGCTAGTATAAAAACATGTTTAAAACAACGCCAGTCTCCGATTATATTCCAAAATTCCAAAATAGAATAATTATTTTCGTAAACAGAAACACCTATGCATATATATATATATTTTTTTAAACTTTGGCATTGTTTAGTCAATAATAGTTGGGTAATTAGTTCCTGTAATTCTTAGGTGTGTATACTGTGTTCTATTCGGAGGACATTCGTACAAAAATACAGAGGGGTAATTACAAATAAATAACCAACGACAACACGAAATATTCCAAAAGGGTAAAAAACAGTGATTTGGCTTACTTATTAAATGTTTGATGAGCGATTTTCCCGCTACAGATTTTACCGGTTAAATGTAGAGAATTTGAATTGTTCCAGATTTTTGCCGGTTCGTGTAATACTGCTACGCGCGTCCGTACTAATGCAGTCAGTAACAATTGGGTATTGAGAGTCGCGTAATTTTTACGTTAAAACAACGTGGTTGTGATAACGCGATTCTTCATGAATAAAATAATATACGACATTAAAAAATATTTCACGAATACATGCCTACATCATTCGGCACTCCGCGCAAACTAAAGCCAGCTTCCCACGGCGCGTTTTTCGCCTAGACTCGTCGTGGTTGGTAGCGTCACTATTTCGTTATCGTTGCTCGTTGATAAGAATACAGACGTCAACAAATTATTTTTACTCATTATAATTTTTGTTTTTAAGCCTGTTTCACACGAAGCGAGTGTTCGCGCAGCGAACGCGATTTAGAATCACCACGAAAATTCGCTCAAAATTAAACAGCTATATTTAATTCAGCGTATTCACACGTAAATAATCGCCCGGAAACAAGTCGCGAACAATCGCAAGAAATCGCTCCTGTTTAATTTTAGGCGAACGTTCGCTGAGATCGGTTAAAATCAATCAAATTGTTTTTATTGGCTTTACATACGCACGGCTCGATAACCGTCGCGATCATCCTAACATCTATCACTAAAGTATCGATATCGGTTGACTAATATTGATGATTTTATATCATTTTAGTATAGTTTTAATAAACCGTCAACATAAAAAAATAAAATAGCGAGTTTTCAAAACTTACATTAAGTATAAAAAATTACACTAACGCGTTCAATAGTGTTCAATGTTTCCATAAAAAAAAAAAAAATGTAATGATTAAATAATATTAAATTTATAAAAAAGTATGTACAGAACAACTACAAATGAATACTTCACACAAGTACGATGTCTGCACCACTAAATATACAATAAAAAATTAATAAATTGTTTAACTCGAAAATTGGCGGGAAATAAAGTAAAAACAAAATTATTAAAATGGTTAATACTTGTAAATAAATATACGAGTCACGTTTTACATTTTTATTGTGATATGCCTAATGATGAATTTTTAATTTGAAACCGGTCGTATAATAAACTTATCATAATACTTCAATCGACGCATTCATTCTTTTATTTATTTTTTTTATTTATATATTCGTTTATTAGTTTTTTTTGATCCGCTAATATTATTCCATTCGATGATAAAAATATTATAATCATTATAATATAATACGTAGCTAAACACGAAACGCTAAAGATACGGTAATTTAGTAACAACTAGCGCAACATAGCGCTAAATATAGCGTATTTCTTAGATAAATAAATGACCACTAGAGGGCACTGCTCTAATACTGTGGATATCATTTATAACATAAATAAGTTAACTATTCGTACCTATAATAGGTGACAAAATATTTACTATGCAGATTATTATAGGTGTTATAACAATAATATCATAACCTACAGGCTACAGCTGTGCAGTGAAAAATAAAATAAAAAGTAGGTATGTATGTTTGTACGAAGTTAGTATACTGAAAAAAGCCGAACTTTCAATCGTAGCTCTCGATCAGTGTCAGAAAGACCTCAAGACCACAAGATTTGGGCCTGAGTTTTTTGTGCGCGGGTGGTGAAAAAGGAATAGACACGTGTAATCTAATCGGAAGATGATAGAAAAGTTGCGCACAGATAAGAAAAAAAATAAACTTCTTTGTCAAACCATACGCTTCTTCGTTCCACTTAGAATCTAAAATAAATAAGTATTGTAAAAGGTACAAATTATAATCAATGTGAAATAAAATAATTTGTATTTTGAATTATGAATATATTTAACATCTGTTTTAATTTGATTTTCATAATAAATTGTATTTTTTGTCATATTTTTTCATACTATGGATTACCAAAATATAAAAACTGAAATTTACAACAAATTTGAAAACGGAAACTGAAAATATGAATTATTATATTGGCGGTAAACGATTAGGTCGATTTTAGCGGAAAAATGAATCACTTCGCTTCACTCAGAATCTAAAATATTAACTATTTTATGTACATCTTTATTTATTTTTAAAGAATAACCATTTTGGTTTTTAATGTGGGAATCTTTAATATCATATGTTTTTTCGTAGTACAATTTGAGGCTTAGTAAATTAGTTCCCAATACCGTTTATTATTTCCTGTCGTATACGCAAGGTTCTTCCTTGAACGAAAATGGCAGTAAGTATTTAAACGTACCTCAAAACCTTTGGTAATCAGCTTTACTAAACGGACGGCCAAGGGAATATTACATCCTTGTACGCTACGATGTTTTAACACAGATTACCTAGGTACTCTCGATTTTTAATTTTTAACTAAATGACCACGATAACGAATACTGTTTAGTTATGATGGACCGTGCTACTTTGTTATATATGCCACGCAAAGGATTATCGCTTGCAACAGATATTTTCGATTTTAAATACGGAGACTGATAAACAGAGTGTCAAACGAGTAAATATCGATAACCTGTCTTGACCCTGGTTTGTTGCACAACATCTTTATATAATTATTCGATGCTTATGGAAAGTTAATAAAAACTAACTTTTAGAAATTGAATCATTGTACACATTCCCATCCAAAGGCTGTATCTAAAGGGCACGCAAACCATTTTCATTAAAAATAGCATACACTTATTTAATTAATTTCTCCACTATAGTTTATAATCATACTTTTTAGCTTTATAATTGAGTGACAACTGTGTTTTTAGGGTAATTTAATAATCTTTGCTATTTAGTCAATAATATTTAGGTAAGAAAATGGTAGCTAACTTGAAACTTATTCCACCATTACAAGATCCCTATACTTTGTTGAAAATATTATTCATCTAAAAATACATATTATAATATACAATCAAGACACAATCCATATATACAATAATCCATTCATAATGTACATTATAATATTGATTCTTAATACAATTATAAATTATAAACATTATAAAAAATATTTTTACTAAGCAACTTAGAAACAAAAAATATAATACTAATGTTACAAACAATCGTTTTAAAAATATATATTGTATTTATAAAATAAAACATATTTAATTGTATGTTACAAACATTTAAGATTAAGTTTTATCAAACATTTGAAAGTGGATTCCTTCCAAAAGCGTGATAATTCTGTATCTGAAAATATCAAACCGTCTGTCATTAGCGAAGGATTTAATATTTCAGTAACATTTTGTTTTTAATACCTACCTATCTATATTAAGATGTCCCTTATACATAGGTGATATATTTTTATATTTTTTAGGTCTCACAAACAAAATATATGAGAGAATAAAAAAATCCTGAAATCTTGATACAATTTTGTGTTTCAATTCCATACATTAATAATAGTAATATATATAAACATAAAATAATAATTAATAATAATTTAAAAACAAATTTTTATCGTTTCCTTTTTACAGTCACGGTATAATCTTCTCCAGGGCCATATTAAGAAATGTTTTGCCCTGTGGCAACAACAACAAAAAAAAAAACGTTCTGATATAATATAATAAAAATTTAATACAATATAAAAATAATTTTATTTTTATATTATAATTCAATTTTTTTCCTGGATTGTGGCTCAGCAAAATAATTTGTTCACTTTCAATATTTAATAAAGCTAAAGCATTTAGGCGAGCATTATTCATTACCCATCTAGAATACGTTTTTAAGATTGAAAATGATCTTTCCGAAGAACAATTTGTTGCACGACTACACAAAAAAATTTCTGAGTGTAATGTTAACAAACGGATGGATCGTTTGTAAATCTTTGGATCGTATAATTATAATCGTACATTATATTTACATTTATTTTGAGATATAGTTTGAGAAAATTGGAGAATACTATTTGATACATTTTCTAATGCAGAGCAACACTTGAGATCATCTATTCCAGAAATAATAATATTAATATCGATATTTTTATAATTTTTTGAACAATGGGATAAAAGGGCTTGCGGTTATATGAAGAAGTTGAGTTTCAAGGCGTACCCCAGGGCTTGGACATCGGACTCACTCTGTTGAACATCCTCTATGACGATCTCCTAAGGCTTGACTCTCCTGAGGGAGTTCAGCTAATTGGGTTTGCTGATGATTTAGCTGTCCTAGTGGCCGCTCACAAATTAGAAGCCCTTGAGGCAGCCATAAACACCACGCTGGGATCGGTCGACGACTGGATGGTCGTCCTTGGACTTTAGCTAGCTCATAAGATCGAGGCTATCATGTTCATAAGGAAAGAGCGTCTTGGGATCAGGCGATTCCCATCAAAAGGAATCTGCGTTATCTGTGACTCCACTTCGACTCCTATCTCACCTTCAGCGGTCACCTCCGTAAGGTCTCTGCTAAGAATAGTTTATTCTCAACCTGGGTGGTCCGTCTCAGCCTAAAAGGGTGCTGCTTATGTTGATTGTAGACAGCATTTTGTTTTACGCAGCTCTGACTTGGGCTGACAGCGACAAAGTACTCTCTTCGGGTCACATGAACCTACCGAACAATTTCGGCTAATGCTTCTCTACTTCTGGAAGGTGTCCCTGCCGGTGACTTTTTGGCTCACGAGCGTACGATCAAGGACCCCAATAGAACTTTTTTGCTAACTGAAGTCGACAAAGTTGAACGGAACACCGTGCTTACAGTGTGAGCTAATCGTTGGAGTCGCAGTGACAAAACAGCCTGGATGCCTAGTAGAATTTTTGTACAAAATATAAAAAAATAAAAAATAAATAAAATAAACATCTTAGTAATACCAACACATTCTTCGCCATACTCAGAATCTAAAATAACATACATTTCATATTTTCATAACAATTTTTTTTTAATCAACATAAATGTAATATTTATAAAAAAAAAAAAAAATTAAAAATTAGTAGTCTTTTGTATTTATGTATTTAAGATTAATTAAATGAACATAAATAGTTTATATCACTTTTTTTTTATAAAATTTAGAAAATCCTAAAAAATTCTAAATTTTTATAATTAGGTCATTACTTATTTCTATCACAATTTGCATAGATATTTTAGATTTTTTTTTAATTTAAAAGTCTTTTAAAACAACAAATGAAATTAAAAAAATGTAAATTAAATACAATTTAATACTATTATTAAATAGTAAATAAAAGTAACTTAAATAAAACAAACATGGTAACCATGTCTTTTACTTTGTATAAGTAATTATGCAGATTAAACGCTCTTTTCTCCCTTTTTTTTTTTGGAAAATATGGAAGTATTGGTAAATGCTAGTTCACGTATAAGTATGTTTTTACTATACCCTGGTTTTGCATGATGTAAACAACAAATTAATGTGTAGTGTCCTCTTACATGTTGTTTAAACCATGTTTAGAAAGATAAACATATTATTATATATAATATAATATTAAAATAAATAAAATGTTATTTTATGCAAGACTTATATAAATAACCTAATAGGTACTTAACTTATAAACCTATTTAAAACAATATTGTTTTGCTTAGCAAATCCTTAAATTACTTGATTTTCTTTAGTTTTTATTTATTTAACTAGGTATTAATATCAGATGTATTACTTGGCAATTCATCTATGCGTTAGGTACTTTATATTTTTGATCTTAAAAAAAATAGAAAACCAAATAAACAAATTTAATATATTAGAAATAAAGTTTAAAGTAAATTGTATTAAGTATTCAAGTAATGCAAACATTAATGCATGCTTCAATTCACACTAAAACCATATAAAACCATGGAAAAAACATTTCTAAATAAAATCTAAAATAAAAACAGTACAAAGTTCAAGATATGGAAAAAAAAAATGTCTACAGCATTAAACGTTTTGTNATTTTACATTTTGTTTTTTTATAATATGGTTAAAACTAATTGTAAGCTAAAAATAGTTTTTAAGCTATTAGAGTTTTAAGGAAATGAAATATTTGACTTGCATACATTTTTATTTGGTTTTATGTAAATATAATTTTTTTGTCAAGCATAAAAATGCTTGCAAATTTAATACGAGTTTCATTATACGTTTTATTTAGTTGGAAAACAAAAAAGAAAGTGAGATGAAGTAGGTTTTTTTTAAAATTATTTTAGGTTCAAACTTTGACAAAAATTTTAAAAACTACGAAATTTATGTTCAACTTTACTTCGCTCAGAGGCATAATCGTTGTGTATAGATAAATTAATTTAAATTAAAATATTAACAAATACACGTTTGTCAGCAGTATATAGTCTCTTTTTTAAATATATTTGCATAAAAATATAGGGCAAAAGTAATACAATATGACCATTACCCAATTATACCCAGCCCTAAATTTGAGAAATAAAAACAATTTCATTTACATAATTTTTGAGAACATTTTAACGAATGTCCGTTTTTTTTCGTTTTAGGCAATTTGGAATTGATTAAATTAGTTCACTGTGCAGATTGGCGATTTATTTTTCTCGTGTATTATAATATTACGATTATTCAATTCAAATACTTTTGTTTTAAAATTATTTTTTTCCGATCGTTTGGCTTTCTGATTCCCGTCCATCGGACGATTCGCACGAATACCTTAAAAATAACCTCCGGATTTAATCGTTTTTCAACGACGACCTACGAAGAGTGTCTAAAAACAGAATTGTATACATTTTAGCTACTTGGGTATCGTGTTTTATTATAACACGATTTGGGTTCCATCGCGTGTCAAAAACGCGTATTGCAATTAAACTTTTATTAGATTGCGTATTTTTTTTTTTTATCGTTACAGTTTTATTTTTTTTTTTTAAACTTTTTTTTCGAATATAATGCGTACGTAAACGGAACGAAACAAAATGAAAAGAAAAACTACATTTTCCCTTATGCAGAATTAAAACAAAATAAAACTTAGGGCGTTATGAAATATTAAACGTTTAAACCGTTTTTTTTTTTTTTTTTTTATCTTTATAATACAATATAAAAAACTGACTCACTGACTGATTGCTTGACCGACATATAAACGTGCATCATAAACCGCTAGCTCTAGAAACATGCAATTTTGCACAGAAGCACTAAGAAAAGATTATTCAAAATTTGTTTTCAAAATTATTTTGTTTAAAGTGAGTTTTAAAGTATTTTATAGAGACAAATTAAAAATGGGTTTAAAAACTTATAAATTTCTGTGCGAATTTTATAAAACTAGTTCGTTCAAAACGGTTTTGGCCGATGTCGAATATTAAATCCCGTAGGGGTTGAAAGGGGGTGTCAATGTTTCTGTCGAAAAATAACTCTTTATAATAAAATAAAACATAGTAGGATTGACAGAATTATACATAAGTTACCAGTGGACTATTTTAGAGTCAAAAAAGTTTACTTTTAATGACATAAATCGGAAAATAGTACACGAAATACTGTGGTTTTACGATTTTCATCAAAATTTAAACTTTACAATTTATTTTATAAATAAAAAAAGCTGTCCTAGGATAATGTAGACATGTGCAGCCACTGATTTTTCTAATTTACTGGGAAAATTCATACATGGGAAAAATCTCGAGTACAAATTTGTGATATTTCAATATTATGCAGTGCCGTAAAAAAATCTGTACTTATAATGAACCTTGTAAAAAATGTTTGAGAATTTTTAAGAACCCTAATAAATTTGATCGTTATAAGACCAAATAAAAAGTATCATAGTACCAATATTTTAAAAAATCATAAATATCTAACTCAAATAAAAAATATTAAACAACGCCTATAAAATGTCAATATAGGTAGGTATGTGTGAAAATTCCTTATGGTTATTTTTAACCGAATCACAAAATATCATTCAAAACAAAAATCGTTATTGCTTAAATATTCCTGGTTTTCCCGAAATTTTTCTCGATCATTTATAAAATTTATCGGAGAATAAAATGATCTTTCTGATGCACCAAACAGACCGAAATCGCCATTATGTTATGATCGGAGGAAGATTACTGGTAGAAAAATTGTTAAAAACGAAAAGAAGTACATATCATAGTAATACAAATAAATTCTTCGATACTTTCAGAATCTAAAGCAAAATATAAATTGTATAACATAATTTTAATATACGTATTACAATATTAAAACAACATTATAATCGAAAATGGAAGCGTTATAAGTGTTAGTAGAAATGAAAATAAATACGGCAGTGGAAATAAATACAACGGGATAAAAATCACATTTATAGATCGCTACCACCCGCTTACTAAAGCTGTTTATTGTAATAATAGCCTCGGAAAAAAATGGGTTCGGTGGAATGATAACGAGAAAATATCATCGCGGTCAAAAATGTCTGGTGCTAAGCCGTTTAAGGAAAATTTACAACTGTAGTCGAAATATAATATACCTAAAAAGTATTTTTTCTCGAGTTACATTCGAGAAGTAGTTAGAAGAAGTGTTACTCCTTTTTGATACCTAATAATAAATTATTAGATTATACGTTTTGGACTTAGATTTTTATGTTACTTAATCGACATGATTTTACACTTCATATGTAAACAAAATATATGTATAGACAATATCCGTCAGGATATGTTATTATATAGTAAACAAATAATATAAACTTGTCATTTGATGATAATATATTATTATTTTTAAACTTCGTCAAGATAAAAATAAATTTATGTTCCCCCGAATCAAATATTTACCCCTAGATTTACTTTCCGATTAGGAATAATTATCAATATTCATCGAACATTTTTTGTAAGAGAGAGTTCAGAGAGTTTAGAATAATTTCTTGCTTTTGCAAGTAATGTCTTAAAATGTTTCTGTTAACCTCATGATTATTCACCAGTTGCTAATGAGTTGGGTCTCTCCATTTTGGATGAGCGTAAACGAACTGCTGATATTCGATTTATTGATGGACTGTTAAACATTAACATTGCTTCTACTAAGTTTGCTTCACGTATGTGTTTTATGATAAGTCTACGATTCACTAGGTATACTGCTCCTTTTTATGTTTCAAACGGTACTAAAAATTATTTAGCCAATAAACCGGCTTAAAAGGTTAATGGCGAACACCAATTTGGATCCTTATTTTCAAATATAATTTCCTTTTTCTTCTTATTTGTTGTACTTATACAGAGTGTAACAGAACCATTGACATTTTTACATTGTAGTTACCTGTAAAAATGTCAAATAGTCTAGTCACACTTTGTATACTTAGTCTTAAATGTACTTAAGTTTACCATTGTATTTATTCTTTATTAATACTCAATAAATAAAAAAAGGGCCTCGTTCGTTAAATAATTAAAATAATAAACACATATCCAGTTTTCTTGATGTTGATGTAAAATTTCTAGAGCCATTTAGAATCTTAATGCTTGTTATTATTATTATAAATTACGATCTATTATATTATCAAGTTTAGCATAAAAACTATAGTTTAAGTTAATTTGAAATTATTAAAAAATTATAACTGTGTATTGTCATATTATGTTTTTTTCATAAAAATCACCATTAGACGTTTATGAAGAAAAATAAAAAAGAATCTGCAGTTTCTCATGTACAGAAAAATTACGCTTTTCTGAAATACTATAACGTTCTCTTGCGTTTCTAAATAGGCCGTCATTTTTCATGTGTGATAATACCATTTCAAAAATTAAAAAATGTATTTAAAACAAACTAGTCGTATTATGGAATGTTTTTTAGGACGAATGGAATCGCGACATACCAGTCAACCAATATCCTAAGTTTTATTAATTATTTTTCTAGGTCATTGAAATGTGCATTTTCGCACTTTCGCTTCGGCAGGCTCTGTGTATTTTGGTGTTTTTATAATATATAATAATAATATCACTTTGTGTTCGTTGACATAATTTTTTTCGTTTTTATTAAAATTGTTCGATGCTTTTAACTTGTTGAAAACGTTTTTTATCACAAGTGTCATTAAAAAAAAAAGAAGAAAAAAAAGAAGCTAATGTAGACATTCTATTAAATTCAAATGCTACTAATTGTTCACTATATTACAACGGTAACAAAACATATAATACTGCCTTGTCCGAGGTGAACTCAATTATAATATCATATCCTTCATGGATAATCTAATTTTTTTTTTATTTCTGTCACAGAATATACACTGATGATTGAATGAGTTTGACGGTATAATAATAATACCTATGAATAAAGAAAGTCAATCTGGCTTCGCATGTACCAAATGGAAAATCGTGATTATAGAAATCCCATTAGCTTTTTCCGACAAACTTTAAATCCTTTGATCAAATTTCTGTAAAATCAAACTTAGACGATTCAGCCGACTGCTGCGCGTGACAGCGTTTTACAACCACAATTTAATATAATATTATATACAAGTAAATTGTTTTTGTGCCTGTAAACGTTTCATTACAGTTCGTATACTATAATGATATATTAATTTAAACTATTATAAAAGTAATATATCGTGTTATGTTCAAATTATATACTCGATCATACGATGTTTTTGACCACGATACAGATAACAAACTACCATTCATATACACGATCAACACTAGTTAAATTCAATAAAACTGTTTTTGATTTTTATTACTCAATTTGTACAGCTTTCGTTTAGGTACTTCTACTTCTCAATAACACTATTGTATTTCCCCCTACCAGATGAATCCGACAAAATATTTTTTAATTTTTTAAATATGTGTATATAAAAAAAATGTATTTATTAAATACTACATACGTGTAATCGGTGACCGAACGGATTTAAAAAAAAATACGCTATACGTGTTTAACTATATCAAAAAATTTATATTCTTAAACTTAATATAGAAAACAAGGTTTTAAGCGTATAAAGTTTATTTTAGTTTACTTAGTCGGATCAAAATCGTATCGTTTAATTTCCTGAGTATTTCTAATATATTGTTATGTTATATCCACTTATTTTGATAGAAGATGTAACCTAAACATTTTCTCCTAGTACGTAGGTATATATTTAAATACAGGTGTCCCACAAAATATTATACTACCATTATTTCTGGGACTGAAATGACTATTTACTTTTAAAATGTTAACCTATATTAAAAATTCCACATACAAATAAATAGATGTAAATAGATGAAGCATTAGTTTAAATATATATTATAAATGCGTGTGTACTATATATGCGTATATTTTTAAAATAAAATTGATCTTGCTAATTTAATAGAAGGAATTTTTAGATACATATAATTTTTATATGTAAACTTATTTTGTATGATTTGTGTGTCATATTACATCAAATGTAAATACGGCACCCGGAATAGGCAAAATAAGTGCACAACTGAAACTGTAGCACAGCATTACATATCACGTACCTAATTGGATTGAAATATTCACACAATTTTAGAAAGTAACTTTTTATATTCCAATCATTCATTGTTTTTATAAAATCAAAGAGCAACAACTTCGTAAAAAGGATGTGAACAATTTTAAAACAAGACTTCAACAATAGACGAAAAACATCAAATTTATCGTCTAAAACATCTAAAATTAATTATTTTGATTATAATTTTAGATCTGTGTGTGACAAAGAAGCTATACGTATTAGTTTTACAAATATGTGTTTTTTCTCTTTGGGATACATTTGAAAGGTTAGTGAACATCAGGGTTGAAACGCATAATACAGTATAAAACAGTTAAGTATAATAACTTACGTATATAATGTATAGTATAAGACTACTATAATTTTTTTTATTAATTACCCAAGATATATGTGATTAATTTGTTATATTGATTACTATGTTCATTTTTATTCTTTATTAATATTTATAATAATATGTATAATAACAAAAAAGAAAAGTGTTTTGTTTTTATTCTAAATTTAAGAAAATTCACCGAGTTGATGTGATTTGTTAATTTATAATACTAATTTATAAGTTTATACATATTCAAATTTAAAATAAAAATTGTTGTCAATATATATTAATATGTATCGATATTATAATAATTATAAATTCCAAAGAAAAAAATGTATAATAGTAGTATAAACCAAGTTGTACGTTTTCAGTAATTTTATATACGCGTATATTACCAATCCCGGCAAAAATATTCTAATTTTTTTATGTCATGCCCTAAAAGATGCGGATTGTTTGCTTTATCGTATTTTGTTTGAAAATTTTTTTAAACAAAATGTTTTTCAAACAATACTATATTATTATTATTTTGTTTAACTAATTTTTTGGTTAGCAAATGATCGAATATTATCACGCGGTATTTCAAAAGACGCGGCATTTCTGACCGATGGTTTTTTTTATTTGAAACATCTATCGACATTTTCAGATTTTCATCAATATTATTTCAGGTAATTTTGTCTTTGTTGATTTCATGTTTACATTGGTAATAAAAGAAAAATCACGAAGAATGCACATTTATTTATCATCGTTGCGTACAGCATACATAAGCTAATATAATTTTCCTGTAAATCCTGTCTTCCCAACTATACTCTTCCACTTTAGTGGCCTACTTATAGTGAGCACTTAATTTTCAGTAAGTACACATAAGGCTTTCTTGTCGTTTACTGTATTTTTTAAATCATATAGCGGGTTGTATATGATATAGTAATATTCCATAAACTAACCGTTTCAAACGGATATTTTAACCATCATATCGGTGATACTGTATAATATTATAATAGTACGAACTCCGAACACCTCTACGGCTTCTCATTAAAACTTCGAAAATATTCAGTCATCTGTGTATATATGTGATGTATATATCCTCATGTGTGTGCATACACCGTTTGTTGTAGTGTCATTTTGGGCGGAAATTATTTAGCATAATGTATCAAAAATTGTTAACTTGGCGTACGAGTAATATTACGTATGCACAGAGAGGTCTCGCATACGGGATGTCGTCACGCCGTGCTCTCGAGTGTACTTTTAGAAAATATGATTAATACGCGAATGTATTATATATTATTATAGTATTCATGTATTAATATACGATAAAATATTTTAGTACGTATTCAAATAGATTTCAGATCCGGCGTATAGCGAGGGATCTATTGGTTTTACCATGATGTTTATTTTTTTTTTTTTTGTGTATGATTAGTTCCTAAGTCCTATAAAATAAAATCAATTTTTTTAGTTTTAAGTTAACACTTTTCAGCAAATGATAAAAGAAATGAATAAAAGAAAATTAATAAAAATCGGCTTACATATTATAATATTACATATGCATAAACATTATGTATTATGTATAGTGCGTTGAGGCTATTTTTTGGAACACGAAATTGAATATAATGATAGAAAAAAAAAATTAAGTCACGGGCATTGAGCGAGTTATTGTTATTAAATTATTATAATATTATGCATGTACAATGATCGTCCATTAATATTCAAAACGCCAAAAGTTAAATTATCAAATAGTTCATTAAAACTTATATTCCATAAAATGTCCTATTGTTTATATCGGACCTGGTGAGTAAATCTCTCATCGGATTCTATAAATAATTTAGGAGTTTTATCGATTGTTAAAACTTTTTTCACGACATAACATATATATATATATTATAATGGAATTATAAAAATTTCCCAACGCATATGGAAGAACTTATTTCGGTGTCGTAGCGTGTTTATTTTCTTCTTAACGCCTAAATAAAATTAATAATAAATCTGTTTGGCAATTTTCGGTTTTAATTTAAATTTTTTTTTGTTAGTTTTTCATTTTTCATATGATTGAATAGCGCTATCGGTATAATATTATATTAGGCATTCAAGAAGAATTTTGGATATTTGTCGAATACACCTGGAATTGATATATTATATCTCGTTAATCCGACTTTCATAAAAATTATTTTGTTACATAAAATCGTATTTTATGATAGTCCGGACTTAGAAGTTTATAGTCGTATTATATCGCATTACGTCATTTTAAAGGGTTTGTTTTAATCTCTAGTAACCACTTATGTATAGTA